CCGTCCGCACCGCGTCACGGGTGGCGTCCTCAGACAAAGGCTCTGGGCCGTGCGTGCGAGGGCAGAGCCCAGTTGGAGCCCAGGACAGGCCCAGCGGTGGGTCTGCTTAGCAAACCATGTCTTTGTGCGGCCATCTGGAGCAGAGTCGGACGTGGCTTTGGCAGAGGCACATCTCAGTTCCCCGAGACTCAGTTTGCTGGTCTGTGGAGTGGGCGTGATAATGGCTGGCGGCCCGGGACCCTTGTCGGGGGAGCACCTGTAAGTGAGGGGCGAGCGGACAAGGCCAAGGCCAGGAAGGAGGCAGGGATGCGCACCCCCAGCTCAGAGGCCAGGATGCTTGGGGACCCGGGGCCCGTGCCTGGAGTCTGTCCACAGGGGTGCGTTGCTCTCAGGGACAGGTGCCAGATGGCCCAACCTGCGCCTGGGGAGGTGAAGCTCAGGCTCTGTCACCTTGGCGACACCCTCAGGGAATGTGTGGGGACAGAGACAGCCAATTCGCGGCACCGGCGATCCTAAGATTCCCTGTGACATCACTCTACCTCCCAGCGGGCGCCGCGGCTGCCTGAAGCCGGTGAGGAGGACCGGAGCCATTGCCAAGTGCAAACTGATTTTTCCCAAACAGCGAGCAATCCCGGTGACGGCAGAGGGCCCAAATCGGATTGGTTCCGGCGCTGGGGCAGCTCCTGTAACGCTGTCCGAGGTGGCGGCACAGTCTGGCTCGGAGCAGGAGAGGGCAGGGGGGTGGCATCCCCCTGCGTGTCTCTGGGGTCACATATCAAACCCACGTCCATCAGAGCAGGCCGAGCTTAGCAAAGAATCACAGGGGCCGAGGACCGCAAGAAACGAGGTTCCCGGGGCACCCGACGCCCCTCCCCCGCAGCCGCGCACAGGGGCAGGCCTCATGGGGGCGATTCACGGACCCCAGGGTGGAGGTGCTGAGCCAGGGGCGCAGGACGGGGCCCAGGAGAGCGCGTGGTGGCCGACCCCTGGCATGGTCAGGCCTGGCGGAAACCTAATCCTCGTGCCTGGGCCTTCGTGTCACGGCCAGGGGCCTGGCCACCCAGCAGCCGATGTGGTCACACTGTTCCCACTCCTCCCCCTGCATCTGGAGGACGGACCTTGGCAGATGAAATCATGGGAATCAAGGCTCCCCCTGCACCCGAGAGCAGAGGGAGCCTGAAGTCAGCTCGCTGTGTGGCCTCCCGTGTGCAGGCCAGCGACCTTTGCTGGTTCCCAGAGGCTGCCCAGCGGGTGACATCATGTAATTCTCAAGTCACGTGATGTCCCCCTTGCACTGATGAGGACACCGAGGCTCAGACCTCTGGACTGGCCTGAGGTCACGACGCCACCTCAGGAAACCTCGTCCAGGCCCAGCCCCCACAGCGGTGTCAGGGTCTGCGAGGAGCCGGGAGCCCCAGGTCAGCTCAGTGAAGGCTCCTCCAGGCCCCGCCCCTTGCCAGCTGCGGGGTGCGGGGCCAGACGCCGGGACCGGCCCCTCCTGGACGGCCCCTGGGCATCTCGTCTTTCTCGCTTCTGCCCAGGGGGTCTCTCGGGTTATTTCCTGCTCGTCATCATGCTCCCAACAGATGACTCTTAAAATTTCACTTTAGTTCACCTCTCAGTTTAATGCAAAAGGATAGATGTCCGTGGCTCTTCTGCCATTTTGACAGGAATCACATTCTTAAATATGACCCTGGCTCACCTGGGAATGAAAGGTCGTTGAGCCCAAGGTGGCTGTGACCCACATAAGCCCCGCCCCTGGCCCTGAAAAGCCCCGGGACAGGCTGTCGCCTTGAGGAAGTCACATGGGCTCCTGGGGTATTTGTGCCCCACAGGCAAGTACTTCCTCCATGAAGGTCTCACCACGGTCCCCGCCATTCTTTGCTCCTCAGCTTCACGCCTGGCCGCTCTCTCTTGTGCCGGGAGCTGGGACTCTGGCTGAGCGTCCAGCACTGCGCTGGGCCCTGGGCTCTGGCGAAGGAGGACAGCCCCGGGGAGTGGGCATCTTCCCTCAAATGTGGCTGCGACCACCCGCTCCTTGAGCCACTCATGGATGGCAGGTCAGCACCGTAATTCCTCACTTAACATCATCGATAGGTTCTATAACTTAAAGAACAACATCGTACCGCAAACAAACTAATTTTACCGTAGGCTTCAAGGGTGTCCAGCCTTTTGGCATCTCTGGGCCACCCTGGAGGAAGAAGAGTTGTTTTGGGCCACACATTAAATAAAGACTAATGAAAACTGATGAGTAAAAAACGTTTTAAGCCCTGGCTGGTGTGACTCAGTGGACGGAGCACCGGCCTGTGAACCAAAGGGTCGCCGGTTTGATTCCCAGGCAGGGCACAGGCCTGGGTTGAGGGCCAGGTCCCCAGTAGGGGGTGCGCGAGAGGCAACCAAACATTGATATTTCTCCCTCCCTTCTCCTCTCTTTAAAAATAGAATAAAATCTTTTTAAAAAAAGGTTTTAAGTAAATTTACGATTTTGTGTTGGGCTGCGTTCATAGCTGTCCTCAGCTTGGGTTGGACACCGAACTGATATAAACGGGGTCCAGTTCCTATGGCACCTCATCAACATTACAGTGAGAAACAACCCTGAATGAAACAACTTCGTTCAAGAACCTGCTGTGCTTGTAGTTTCCACTGGGCCAACTGCTGGGCCAGCCAAGGGGAGTGATGGTCACAGTCGAATACAGTGAGCGGTCATCTGACTGCTTGTTCAATTACAACATTTCACAGGAGCGTCAACTGCCCGATTCTAGCAATCGCTGTTCTTGCCTCGTGCAGGGAACACGCTCAAGGATGAAAGGGTCCTGTCCGGGATACCCTAGAAAACCCAAGTCCAGAGGCAGTGGCTGGAAACATGCCCACACCCTGACTCACCGGGGAACTAAAGGGCGCTGAGCCCAAGTTGGCTGTGCTGGGCTTGGCTACAGAGGACACCACGTGGTCACCGAAGGCTGGGGTGGTGGTGCCTCCGTTTACCCAACATCGTCCCTGGGAAAGATAACACGCACCCACCCAGCAGACGTGCGCAGCCTGGGGCTGCAGAGGTGGCCTCCCCTCCCGCCACCCGGCCGTGGGCCTGAGGGTATGACGGGCTTGTGCACGGGTTCCAACACCGTCCACGTCCCTTTCTGGGAGTCCAGCGGCCCCACAGCTGCTAGAGTCCTGTGTTCCTGGGGCCTTTGATAAGGGAAGAGGAAGGCCTGGCTGGCTCCGTGGACATCCCTCGCGTGAATCAAACATTAGTACCCTTCACACGAGCACCTCGTGAGGGCTCGCTGCGAGGCTGCCGAGCTCCCACGCGCCCCGGCGGCTGGCCGGCTGCTATGCGCAGTGTCAGCGGCCTGTCTTCCCTCTGATTCTGGCTGCGTTTGGCCGGAGGAGGGCCTACTGGGAGACCGGGGGGCAGGAACGAGAGTGACGTCGGGTCCCTGTCCCATCTCCTCTCCGAGCCGTCGTGGGTGGCACGGGGCAGGAGCTGTGCTCCCCCAGCCGTCTTCCTGGGGGCTGCACCTGCCCCGTCACTTGTCCCCCGGGCAGAGCGGTGGTGACGGCTCCACGGGCCCTGGCGTCTCTCCAGCCCTCGCCCATGCCTTGGAAACGACCCTTATTAAACCCTGTTCCTGAAATTGAGGGGTCGCGTGTTTCCTCTGGGAAGCCTGAAGGATACATTTAGCCTGATCCGGGCGCCCTAAATAAGGCCACTCAGCCAATCAGAAGAGGCGCCCATGCGGGGCCGGCTCTCCACGGCCGAGGGTGTGTGGGGCAGAGATCTGCCGACGCCAGGACACTGCCCATTTGTGATCAAGGCAAGTCCACTGCCCATTTGTGATCAAGGCAAGTCCATTCCGGCCTCCTGAGTCTGTGTTTTGAAGCAGCGCTTGGCTGAGCACCTTTAATAGTGACTAGAAAACATTTCACAGAATTTTCACACAGAAGACCGAAGGGTCCCAGCAACGTGCATCCTCCGAGAAAGGGACCCTCGGTCCGGGGCGGGCGCTCCTTTGGGAGCAGACACCCAGGACGCCCCGCGGCATCTGGGGCCTGAGCGGCGCACCCGCTCTCCAATGGGAAACGGGCAGGAGCGGTCAAGTCTGGGAGCAGAGCAGGTCTGACCTACAGGGGCTGGGGCCCAGGGGCCTTCCTCAGAGCCCGGTGGCCAGGGGCGCCTCTGGTCCCCCATGGGGCTCAAGAGGGAGCCCGTGGGCTGGCCCTGGAGAGGGGCCCCAGGCCAGAGGGGGAGAGGCTGGAGTGCCCCAGGGCCCCAGCCGGGCAGCACAGGAGGGAGCCAGGCTGGGCCCAGCCCCATGACGTGCAGCCCCGTGTCCCTGACAGAGCCTGTGACAAAGTGGGAGGGCCGCTCAGCGCTCAGCGAGAGTCCTCCATTGTCTCCTTGGTGACACACACAGTGCCTCATTCGGGGTGACTAAGGAGGAGCAGGGGCCTGAGCCAGCGCCCCCCCCCGCCCCGCCCCAGTCACGCTCTGCTCTGTGCTGGCCGGAGGGGCCCACGGCTGCCCTTGCCCAGGGCAGCGTCTGGCAGGAAGCCACTTAACGCAGAAGAGGCATCCTTGGGAATCCCCACAGGTCCCCCCACCCCCGGGGACTTCCATTCCGCTGAAGAGCTTTTGCCGGGGAGCCAACCTCCCTAAGCAACAAAAAATCCCGGCTCACCTCCCTCGGAAGCCTTCGCTGACCGCCGCGCCCCCCCGCACCCCTGTGCAGGCAGAAGGACCCTCTCTCCGGTCCCCCACGCGACTCCTTCCTCCCGCTGCCGTGGCTGGGTGCTGCCCTCCCTTGGGCATGACACAGAAAAGCTGGGTGGGGGCCCCCTTTGTCCCCAGAAGCAGGTGTTTCGGGTCCAGAGTCCAGGCCCTGCCACTGGTCAGCTCAGACTCGGTGTGGTGGCTGTGGAGGCAAAGACCAGGTCCCTCCAACATCCCCGGGGGCCTGAGCCCAGCCCTGGCCCAGTGAACAACAAGCAAACATGCACAGGACCGCCCCTCGGGCCCCTTCCGGGCGCTGCGAGGGGCTCAGTGCTGCGGGGCGGGGCTGAAGGGCTGGCTCCACTCGGAGACGTCCAGGAAGACGCTGGAGGCGCCGTGGTAGAGCCAGAGGCGGGGCAGCGCGCCGTGGCGGACCCAGGCGTCCCGCCCGGGGTCGTAGGCCTCCATCTCCACGTGGTAGTCGCCGTCCATGCCCTGCCAGCGGCCGCCCGTCACGTACAGCGCGTCGCCCAGCGGCACCAGGGCGCCGTTCTCATGCAGGCTGTGCAGGGACTGCACCTGCGGGCGGTCGGCGGTCAGCGTGCCGTGTGCGGCCAGAGGGGGCGGCCAGGGGACATGCAGCGAGGACGCCAGCACTCCCCTGACAAGCCACGCATACCTGAGACTGGGGCCTCCCCCCGCCCCCACCAGGACCCCTCCAACTCCCCCTTCTCCAGGGAGGCCCCACGGCCCCCCTCTCCAGCCGGGACGATGTTTCCAGCCCCCACCCTTCTCTCCTGGGCCCAAACGTGCTCATTTCTGAGAGCTGGGGTGAGGGCCCTGGGCCCGGGCCTGGAGCTGCCTCCCAGGGTGAGGCCCGCCCTTGGCCTGACTCTCAGCGGCTCCCTTGGAGGAACAGGCAAGGCCTCGGCCCTGGAGACAAGGGCAGGGCCCCCGGCCCAAGGGCCCCTGCACCCCTGGCCTTGGCCCACAGCCTCAGCAGCGCCCAGGGTCAGGGCCAGCAGCCGGCCGGAGGCCCGAGAGGGAAGTGGGCGCTTTGGGCAGAGCCCGGAGTGGGCGGGAGAGAGGGGCTGGTCGCGGCCTCCACGGGAAGGCAGCCATGGGCGGCCGTCCCCGAGCCCGGAGAGGACAAGGGCAGCCCTGCGAGGCTGGACCCCCGCCCAGAGCACTGGCGTGAGCCGAGGCCCAGCTGGGAGGGCCGGGGAGAAAGCCCCGCCCGGCGGGGCGCGCCGGGCACCTGTTGTGCCGCCATAACGGGGCCTCTGGTCAGCTGAGCGCTGACGCCAGGAGTCAGCTGTGAGCAGCGGGGCGCAGAGGCCCCCCGGTGTGGCCCGGTGCGCAGCCTGCCTGTGGCGGCTGCAGGAAGCACAGCCTCCTCCTGGGCCTCCAGGGTCGGGACGCTCACGGCAGGGGGCGGACCCCAGGCACCCGACCACGGCTGAGGCCACTGTGGGCTGCGGGCACTGTCCCTCCTCCTCCTCCTTTTCCGGAAAAAACAGGAGCAGGGCCAGGGCTCCGGGGCCCCCGGGGGCCGGTCCCAGGACGCCCACCTCCCACTGCCTGCCCGGGACCAGGGGCAGGCGAGAATGGGGCGCCGAGAAGCTGGCTGCCCCTCCTCACCCACAGCGCAGGAGTCTGCTCCCCGCTTGCCTGCCCCCAGCGATGGGAGGCTCATGCCCTTCTGGGCCTGGCCAGCAGGAAAGGAGGGCTTTCTCTCCCTTAGCCCACAGCGCCTGTGAAGCAGCCCCAGCTGAGCCTGGTTTTGCCCCTAACAGGGAGCACAGGCCGCCCGTGCTGGGGCCAGGCCCCCACGGTGACCACCGACCCCCGTCCTTGGCTCTGCCGTGCCCATCCGACTCGGCCCAGGTCATGTCTCACTTCACTGTCCTCCCCCTGGGGCGACCCGCCCCCGTCCCGCGGTGGTCAGGGGTCCTGGGGCGGGGCAGGGGGGGTTTCCCCCAGGAGGCGAGGCCGCGGCTCACCTTCTGCCACAGGTTGGCCCCAGGGTCGTACACGTAGACCTTCTTGGTGTTGTCGCCAACCAGGTAGAGCGCGCCCTGCAGAGCGGCGCAGCGCGGCGAGGACAGGTACTTGGGGAGGAAGGGCGAGGCGATCACGCTCCAGGCTTCTGCGGGGACGCCGGGTTTGAGGCCGCCGACGCCAGGGCAGCCTGGCCAGCTGGGGCAACCCCCATCTGTGCCCGCGGAGGGAGCCCCTTGCGTGGGCGGCAGGTGCCCATTCCCCCCACCACAGGCCTTGCGCTCTCTGGGCGGGTTTGCGCGGGGGGTGGGGGGGTGTCCGGGGCCTGGGGGGCTCGGGGGGGACAGGACGCTCTCAGGGCCCCCGCAGGACCCTCAAGTTCTGGGCCTGGCGGCGCCCCCCGCCCCTCCCTGTCCCCCTGGTCTGGCTGGCTGGGGGCCCACCTGTCGGGCCCACCTGTCCCTGGCCCCCGCCCTCCCACTCGCTGAGATGGGCTTGCGGCCCTGCGGAAGGGGCTTATGGCCCCCGCCCCCTGCCCCCTGCCCCCTGCCCCGGGACCCACCTGTGACGGGGTTGTAGCACTGCAGGGCCAGCGCGTTGTACTTGCAGGCGCTGGATCCCACCAGGTAGAGGCGGCCGCAGCAGCCGGCCGCCGAGAAGTTGCTGACGTACTTGAGGGCGGGGCTGACGGGAGCCCAGGTGTCCGTGTAGGGGTCGTAGCTCTCCACCTCCACCACGTCCAAGGTCGTGCCTGCGGGGGCGGGGCGGGGCTGCAGGGGCGGGGCCGGGCCAAGGGCGGGGCCAAGGGGCTTCTTGGACCGGCTCCAGAGTGGTGCCTGCGGGGGGCGGGGCCAAGGGGGCGGAGCCAAAGGGAGCTTTCGGGGCGGGCGGGGCCTGGGGTTCGGAGAGGGGCAGGGGCTCCCCGGGGCCCGGCAGGGGAAGGTATTGGAGAGCACGGCCTCACCAGGCAGGTGCGCTGACCCCATCTCAGTGGGAATTGAGGCTCAGAGAGGTGAGGGCGTTTGCCCAGGACCTCACGGCCAAGAAGCGGCGTGGGGGGTGGGCGCTAGGGCGCAGGAATTTCCTCCTTCTACGGCCCGGCCACACCCAACGCCTCCGAGCGGGGGGGCCGGGGGCCGGGGTCGCACTGCAGGGGAGCTGGCGGGAGCCCCCAGGAGGCCAGCCCCCTTACCCCCCCCCCCGCACCTGTCTCGCGAACGCTGGGCGTCCTTCCCTGGGGGCGGGAGTCCATCCTGTCCGAGCGGTTGGCAGCCCCGCCCCGCCCCCGCAGAGCCTAGCGGCGGTAACGCCGGGCCTGCCCTGGGCGGGAGGGCCAGCCTGGGGTCCCCGCTCCTTGGGCTCAGGACCTGCGAGTGCTCTCTGTGCTTGGGCCAGGCACGATGACCCTTGCAGGAGAAGGACTGGCCAGCACACGGGGAGATGAGGAATGATCTTGGGGCCAGTTGGTCCCCTGCAGAGGCCTCCGGAAGCCCATTTTTCAATAGTGGTCCCACCACTGGCGTCCCCGGGGGCGACTCTGACTCTGGGGTGGATGGGGGGTAAGGTGGGCTCCAGAGCTCCGGCGGGGGGTGGGGACAAAGGTGACAGTGAAGGGACTCATTGTGGGTCTCCTCATCCCAGGGGCTTCCCTCAGTCAGGGACCCCGAGACCACGGGTCTGGGACGGGAACGGCCATTGGCTGGCAGCTCGAGGCCTCCGCCCCTCAAGGGTCTCCTTCTGGGGAGCGACCCCTTGTCCTGTCTTCTGGGACCCCGGAGGGCATCCGCGTCCCCGGGAGCTGGCTGCCCCACGCCTGAGCCTCGTTCCGGGGCGTCCCCACGGCACAGCCCCGGTTCTGACGCCCCGCCTGGCCGGGAGCCCTGGGTGGGCCCTGTGCACCCCTGACAGGGAGCTCCTGCGGGAGGGACAAGGCGGGCAGGGCACCGGTGGCCCCTGAGGCCAGCTCGGGGCTCTCTGGTCCTGGGTGAGGGCGTGGGGGCGGGGGGCCACGGCTGCAGGGCTGAGAGGCTCCAGGCTGCGGAGCGTTGGGTGGGCCCTCAGAGCAGCAGGGGCTGCGGGGGCGGGGGCGGCGGTGGGGGCGGCCTTACCGCCGATGACGTAGATCTCCCCGTTGAGCGCGGCGCTCGCGTGGTTGGTGCGGGCCTTCAGCATGGGTGCCACGGGCCTCCAGGCTGCCTCCTTCAGCGGGAAGCACCAGGCCTGCGTGGTTGACCAGGTGTCCGTCCTGGTGCCCCGTGAGCCGCCTGCGGGAGAGGCTCCGTCTACTCGGGCACCCGCCGGCCGGGGCCTCCGCGCCAATGGGGACTGGGCGCCAAGGGGCCTGCTCCCTTCTCTCCAGGCCGGGCCTCTGTGCTGCCAGCCACTGGGCTGGGTGGGACCTCACAGGCACAGTCTAGCTGGGCGGCTCGGACAGGTCCCTCCGTGCCCCACGAACAAGGAAGCTCTTTCCCCACCAACTCTAACACAGGCCCCCAACATCCGAGATCGAAAGGGCAGAGCGACCCCATCCAGCCCTCCCAGAGCCCCCCGCGGAGGCCTCGGGCGCAGGGACATGGCACGGGCGCCCAGGGCCCATGTCGGACGGGGACTGCCTCCACAGCCACACGTGGCCCCTGGCTTTTAAACTTCCTCCTTTTTAACCAAGGAAAGCTCTGGAAGAGTCCTGATGAGACCATCGCCCCCCCAGCAGGGGGCATGCCCGCCCGCCCACCTGTGACGTAGACGCAGCTGTTCAGCGCGGCCAGGGAGAAGCCCCACTTGTTGAAGTCCGGGAAGTCAGGCAGCGTCATCCAAGTCTCTGGCCAGAAGAGAGTGGCCGGCGTCAGCGTGTGGGGCTCGCAGCCGGGGCCCCCCGCCCCGCCGCCCCTCTGCCACTCACAGCGAGAGGGGTCACCCAGCCGCCACAGCAGTGGGGGCGACCCCCAGGCGTCCGGCCTGGGACAGCCCTGGGCTCTCCATGCGCACTGCCAGGCCCGGCTCCCGGTGGCCCCTCAGAGCCCAGACCGGACACTGGACGGCCCCGGGGTGAGCCGAGAGGCAGCCCGCGTCCAGAGGCTGCTCTCTCACTGACCCTGCAGTTGACCCCACGGACCCCGAGGGGGCCTCGTGGACCTGTCCCGCCCCAGCCCACTAGTCACTGGTGGGTTATAACAGAAACGTCCTTCGTTCACTCACTCGCGCAGTTGCTCACGCTGAGCGCCGGGTGTGTGGGGGCGGGCGGGGGGCCCGGGGCGGCAGGGGGCCACGCCCAGCTCCCCCACGCCTGCGGTGCGGCCTTGGCCAAGCCCCGGCCGCAGCGTCTTCATCTGTGAAATGGGGCCGTTCCCACCTCCAGGGATGCGCGGGGACCATGTGAAATGACGTGTGTCTGTCCCACGGCCACCACTCGGCCAAAGGTGGCATTTAGGAGGGAGGAATGCTCCCACGTCAGACCCGCCTAATGGAGCTCCAGGAGGTAAACTGAGGCAAGGAGCAGCTGAGAATATCTAAGTCCACAGGGGGACCCAGTTTGCGTTTTTATGGAACGCCGTGGGAGAGATGCAGCCTGCGGGCGGTCCCTGGGGAAGGTGACCGTTTTCAGGACACATGGAGCATCAGACCTTGCTGGGCAGGGCCTGCATGTCCCCCCGACTCATGCCTGCGTCACCCCAAGGTGGGGGCTGCCCAGCAGCCAGTCACCAGGCCTTTGTCTGCCAGCGCCCCCCTGCTACCCTCCCGGGGGGTCCGGGGGACCGCTGCTCCCAGGAGCAGCCAGCAAAGCTCATCTCCTGATGTCAGGCCTGAAATCCCGCCTCGTCCACCCTGACCTGGGACAGCTGGCCCCGGGCGCACAGACCACCGATGCCACGGGTGCTGGCCACCTGCCCCGCAGCCCCAGGCCGCCAGCCATCCTGCGTGGGTGCTGCCCAAAGAGCTGCACAGGGCCAGCGTGGCCCCCCAGGCAGGGGAGGCACGTCCAACCGCAGGCCCGGCCCAGGCCGCTGGCCCCTCGTCTCAGCCGTGCGAGGGCCCTGTTTCACAGATGGGGAAAGCGAGGTTCAGGGAGGGAAAGTTGCCTGCTCTTTAAAGCCTGGTCCGGAACCGAGCTCTTGGCCCGGGCTGCCTGCGCCGTGCCCCAAGGCCGTGGCCGGCTTTCTTGGGGCACAGGGCAGGGCCACCAGGAGGGAGCAGCCGCTGGGCCGCCCACCACACATGGCGCACTGGGGTCGAAGGACAAAACCGAGGGCTGCGGCTGGAGGGGAGGGGCCCACAGCGGCCCCCACTGTCCGCTGCCCCCCTCAAGTGGCCCGGCAGGTGGTGGGGACAGAGGCAGCCACGGGCGCCGGCACTCACTGGCTTTGGTGTCGTAGAAAGCGAAGTTCCCGTGGTGGGTGGCGGGCTCCTCGGTGTCCTCCTCGTCTTCCAGGGCCCGCCCGCCCACCACCACCAGGACCTCCTCCAGCGGCCGCGGTGGGGCCGGGGGTGCCTGCGGGCGGGAGGGCAGTGGTCGGGGGGGGTGGCGGCTGTGCCCCCGCCCAGGGCCCCCGCACTGGCCTGCCTGGGTGGCATTTGCTGGGGCAGGCAGCAGCCTCAACGCGGGGCCGCTGCGGGGCTGTGTGTGCTTCGTGTCGGTGTCTGTGTGTGGGGTGGGTGAGCTTCGGTGTGCATGCACACGCGTGTGGTGACTGCGGCAGAGCTCAGAACGAGGCGGGGGCACCCCGCCGCTGCGTGTCGCGAGCGTCAGACCTGCTCTCCTCCCAGCAGGCACCCCCCACCTTTCAGACACGTTCCTGCGCCCGCCTGTGGAGCCGCCCCCCAGACACTGTCCCGTACCCCCACCCAGGCCTCCCCCGGCGCCTGGGAGCCCTGCTCTCCTGGGCTGGCATGTAGCACACCCGACTGGGGTGGCCCTGCCTGGCGGGAAAGGCTGGCATGGTCCCACCCTGGATGGTAAGTAGCCGGAGCCCACAGCTCCAGGACCCCGGGACCCACAGCCCTCTGACCCTGACTACGGGTGCCCCCACCTCCCACCCTGGCGATCACAAGGTGCCACCACGTGGGGCAGGGTCTCCAGGGGCCCTACCATGAGGCCGGCCCTTTGTGCCTGGAAGGGCAGAGCCACCGCGCACGCTGCCCCTGCCCTGAGCCACCCTAAGTGGCTCAAGTCTTTGTCCCAGACTTGGCCGCCGAGACATCCTCTGGAGCAAGGCCCCGAGCAGGCTGCCCACAGACTTGTCGGCTCCTTGCCTCAGCCATTCTCTGGCCCATCAGCTCCGCAGGACCTGCCCTGCCCGCCAGGCCTGCGGCCAGCACAGCCTGCGGCCAGCACAGATGGGAAACTGCACCCCATGAGCGCTTGAGCAGCTTCCTCAGCGGCAGGTGGCGGCCGCCTGCCGAGCCTGCCAGGCCACGGCATCTCAGGGTGTGGGTTAGTGGGCGTCCCTTGCCTGTGCACAGGCTGGGCCGTCGTCTCTGATTGTCTCCCCTCCAGCTGAGCTCCTATTCCTGCCTCTGAGGCCCAGCTCAGAGGCTGCCTCCTTCAGAGAGCCCTCCCTGACTGCCCACCCCTCTGAGGACATCCCTGGCCTGGCGCTGGCCTTTCTCGTGCTGCCTTAAGTCTCTTTCCAGGTGTGTCCCCGCGAGCCGTGGGCTCCTCGGGGCAGGGGGTGGGGAGCAATCACTTCTAGGTTCTGCTTCCCGTCACGTTTGCACACATGGGGGCACAATCCGCACTTGGGGGCGAATGGCGTACCCTCTATCCCCATGCAGGCTGGGCACCTGAGCGACCCCTCCCTGCCCGCCCCACTCACCCCTTCATGGCCCCGGGACAGGGCCACCTGGCAGGCCTCGGACGCCAGGATCAGCGGCTCCGTGGTCAGCAGCTGCTGCACGAACGGCCTGGGCACAGCGCCCAGGTGCACCAAGCCAAGCAGCCCGGGCAGGTGGGCCGCCCGCACCTGGGGCTCGTGGCGCACCCAGCGCAGCAGCGCCTCCAGCCGGCTCTGCTCTGGCTGCGCCTGCAGCAGGTCGCTGGCCAGGCAGGCGGCCAGCCGGTCCTGGGACAGCTGCAGGAACTCGTCCTCCCGGGCCACGGCCTCGAAGTTCTCCCGCAGGAAGGCCCAGGCCTTGGCGGCCACGCCCAGCAGCCCCTGCTGCTCCCCGAACTCACAGATGCCCAGACAGTTGGTGGCGTCCAGCTGCTGCTGCAGGTAATGGCCGCACGCCTTCTGCACTGCCGGGAAGTGGAGGCGCACGGCCGTGCGCGTCAGCGCCTCCACGTTGGCCTGGGTGATGGTCAGGCGGCCCGTGTACACGAAGTCCACCAGCTGGCCCACCACGGTGGCCTCCACGTCCTGCAGCTCCACGCGCGCCGAGAAGCTCTCGGCAAAGTCACCCGCGAACATGGCGTGGAAGTAGGGGCTGCTGAGCGCCAGGAGGCCGCGGTGGCAGGGCAGCTCCTGGCCGCCCACCAGCAGCGTGACGTCGGCCAGCTTGGGCTGCGAGCGCAGCCTCTGCAGCCCGTCCAGCATGTCCTGGGCGTGCGAGGGCAGGTGGAAGTCCAGGTCGTCCACGTTCCGCACCATGACTGCGGGCGCCGAGGCGGCCAGCCCCCCAAAGAAGCTGTGGGGGCGAGGGGCAGCCGGGTCAGGGGGGACGGGCGGTCTCATTCACACCAGCACCTCCCTCCCCCAGCGCTTTGACGCGCAAGGCGATCCACCCAGCACCCCTCAGGCCCACCCCCTCCCTGTCCCGCAGCCCGCGGCCGGGGCGGGATGGGCCAGCAGGAGGCTCCGAGCCCTGGGCCCCCCACACCTCTGGGCCACACAGACAGACCTCTGGGCCTTGGGATTGCCATGGCCCCCAACCCTCACGTGGCTTCCTTGCTCCCAGATCTGCCGTTGCGGGGGAGGGCGTTGGGACAGGGGAGGTTTCCTGCCTTGGTCTGCCATGACTTTGCTGGTGTCTTGAGGGGGGGCCAGGCTGGGGGACCCCTGCCGAACCCCAGGTCTCCATCATCTCAGGGTGTGGGTTTGTAAAGACAAACCACCAAACCATGGGGAACTTTCTGGAGCGCGATTTTGTGACTCAGCTATCACATCGTCTGATTCAGCAAATCCTCATCTGGGCTTATTTAGTTACATGCATCTTTATTTATGTACTTCTGACATCTTACTCTCAGAAAGCCTCTCCCGAGAGAGGAAAGGTCTACCTGGAGCCTTCCCCACCGCCCCGCTCAACACAAGTTACCCATCACCCAGAAGGGCTGCACCCCAAAGAATAGGCCTGTCCACCAGGGGGCGCCTTCTGGGGCCGCCAGTGCAGCCAAGGAAACAAAACCCCAGAAAGAGGAGCCGAGAACAGCGGAGGCCGCGGGGTGGGGAGGCCTTGCTGAGCTACGATGTCGCTGCCGGTGGTGGGAGCGAAAGGCCTGTCCCCTCCCGACGGGCGCCCTCCCCGCCCTACAGAGCAGGCCCCGACCCAGGGAGCCCACCTGGGGGCCAGGGCACCTGCTCGGGCTCGGGCCAGGCCACGACGGGTCGGCAGGTCCGGCCAACGGCCGTCCAGCCTGACCCCTGCCAGGAATGCCCCCTGGTTGCTGACAGCGGCTCTGCCCTTCGAGGAGGGGTTGGCAGGAGCTCAGGGGGTCAGCCGCCGCCCCCAGGCCTTGCATTCCTGTCATTGCTGTGTCCCTTTGGCCGCTGCCGCCGCCACGAGGGGCAGGGGCGTGGGCGCCCAGCCACGCTCCCTGGGGCCTCCGCAGCGTCCGCTGACACCCGCCGCCCTGCAGTCCCAGCTCAGGATGGGGGCTGCCGGTGGGTCCCGGGGCCTCAGCCGGGTGCCTGCCTGGGCCAGGCGCGGGGAGGGCCGAGCTGGCGGGACGGGGAATGACGCCGGGCGCCAGCCGCTGGGCACCGTGGCCCTGGCTGCCGTCAGGGCGTGTGCGGCCCGGCCTCCCACTTGCCCGCCTCTCCGGCCGGACCAGAGGGAAGCCTGCCGGCCGAGCTCCCCGACCCTGGGGGGCCGGGCTTGAGCAGGGCCCGGGGTCCCTCCCGGGCACCCGGCCCTGTGAGCTCCAGGCCCCCGGCCGCCCCACCCTCTCCCGTGGCCCCCTCCAGAGCCCCCCGACCCTACCTCTCAGCAGGACGCTGCACCCCGTGCCGAAGACTCAGGCTGGAGAACGGGACTGGCCAGCTGGCTGCGGGGGCAAGGAGGGCCTGCTGGGCGGGGCGGCCACGTGGGGACGACAGGGTATTTTTAGCCTCTCCCTGCACTGGGAGGGCGGGCGGGCGGGGAGGGATGGCCGGTGGGGGCAGGAGTCTGGTGTTGTCTCCTCCCGCGCTGTCCCCAGGCTGTCTGGGACCAGGGGCCGGGGTGGGAGGCAGGACACATTCCTGGACCCCTCCCTGCGGGCCGTCTGAGGCAGGGGTTATGGCTACCCTCGCCTGCTTCCTCCTCTGAGAGAGGGGACGATAGAGGCTGTGCTGGGGGCCCGGGAGGCCCCCCGAGACCCAGCTCAGACCTGATAGGCGTGGGCTTGTCCGCTGTTATCGACAGGCACCTGTGCAGCCTCTTGTCCTTCTGCCAAGCGGGAGAAAGGACGGGAACTGTCGTTGGTCAGCAAAGGCTTCCAAACCCCGGGGGCGTCCCCCAGTGCCCCCCACAGACCGGAAGCAGGAACGCGGGATCCTGAGGCCCCGTCCCCACCGCATCGTGGCCCCGGCCTCGGGGCTGCCGTGGCGCCTGTATTAGTGGTGAGAGCCGGAGAGGGCCAGCGACGGGGCCCGCTAAGGACACAGCAGCCGTGCGTCCCCCCAGGGCCACTGCCGCGGCCACGGGGGCCCGCACGTCTGGGGCCCAGCTGCGCTCCGGACCTGGGCCGCCGAGAGGGGTCTCCGGGCATCTCCCACGCCAGCGGCCAGAGGGACACTCCGAGCCGCGGGCGGCAGGGCCACGGGGAGAAGCCACAGCCGGGGGCGGCCTGGCGGGGGCTCCTACCCGGGGGTCGCTCCTCCCTTCGCCCACGGGGACCTACCGATGCCGTGTCCGGGTGTGTGGGGACGTGGCAGCATCCGGTTGGGCCGCGTGCAGGGCAGGCCTGCTGCTGTCCACGGGGGCCTGGCTGATGCCCCGACCGCGCCCAGGGGCCCACGTGGCCCCCAGGGGGACCGCCCTCACCGCTGGCCACATTAGGTGACTTCCCAAGGGCAGACGGGTATCGCGACGGCGTGGGTCTGGGACGGAAGGCACCTGCCCCCCAGCACCGCTGCTGGGCCTGCCGCCCGCCGGGGAGGTGGCTATGAGCCGTCACGACGCGTGCAGTCTGATGGCAGACACGGCTCCCACACGATCACCCCGCGCTTGCTTAGCTACTCACACGTTCACAGGGCGCTTCCTCATCCCGCTTGTGCGCGGGTTTCCTGGGTCCACGCTTCTCTCCTTGGCCCGGCCCAGCCCACCCCAGCCCAGCACAGCCCTAGACACTGTTCCTGCCTTAGACAGTTTTGGAACCTTACCCCCGGCCTTCGGCAGGGGAGGGGACCCTCTGGACGTCCCAGCTGTCACTGTATCCAGCCCCATCGCAGGGAAGGTGCCAGAGGGGGAACCAGGAACACCGCCTCATCCCCATTTGCAGGCAGGACCCAAGGGTTAATGCGGGAGGGAGGGAGGGAGGCCAGGGCTTCAGGCGAGAGGCTGCCGCTGCCAGGAGCTGCCCAGCCTGGGCATGGAACAGAGGCCTCCCAGGGACGTGGGGCTCGCATGACGGGTCCATTTGGGACACTCGATACCAGAGCTCAAAGCGGATCCTCGTCAACAGGTCGCCACTGAGCTGCACAGGTTTTGAAAATACGCTGCTGCTGGTTTCTTTTTATGACAAAAACAGCACATGCTCACAGTGGGTAATTTGGGAAACAGAGGCGTATAAAGCGCAGACGCACCGGCCTCTTCCCTTCCCGTCCAGCACCGCCGGCGCTAGAATGCAGGCGCGCAGGCGTGCGCGCCCCGGCTTGGCACTTACGTCGCCAGCATTTCTGACCTGCCGGGTCTTCGAGAAGCACGAGGTGAAACCTCATCCTGACGCGGGCCCGCCCTAACCTTAAGAAGTTGGAAGCGACGTCCAGTCACTTCTATTAAGGGACACTCGGTCGGGTGGGTGTCTTTTTGGACGACGATAACTAACGCAGTGTTGCTTCTGTGACCGCTCCCCTGGAAGGGATTCAGGAAATCACCCAGGGGACGCCTGTGGCCATCCTTACAGCCCAAGGGTTGTCCAGCTGGGGCGAGGGACGCACTGTCCCCAGGGGAGGGCACAGCGGTCCCCTGTGCCTGCCCAGCGGCTTCGCACTGTGGGGCTGCCCCAGAGCGGCCAGACCCCCCCGCCCCGCCCCGCGGGAGTCTTCCCGCCTCACCTGCTCACGGTCTCTCTCATTTGTTTGGGTATCTGCGGTTTATTTGGGGCACAGGATGCTGTGAGGTCACCCCTTCCCTCCCCTCCCCTCACTTAGTTGACAGTGCCCTAAGGACTGTTCTGGACAATTCCTCCTTCCCCCGAGGACGTGCTGTGGCGTTTTATCTCAGGCAGAACCTTCTGGGGAGCGTCTCAGGCTGTTGATCGGAGGGACTCTCTTCCGGGGCCAGAGCCAGCTGGTCCGGTGGACTTGTAGTTACTCCCTTCCCCACTGAAGCATTCTCGTCTGTGTATCCGTTGGCGGCGGCAGCATGACAAACGCCCCCACGGGCTGGCGTCGTAACACGACCCACATTTACTGTCTCACAGTTTCTGGGGCGGTTCTGCCTCAGGACCTGTCCTCAGCTGGCACCACGGAGCCGCCTGGAGGCTGGACGTGGGCGGGCGGCCTCTGCACCAGCTCTCCCAGCACGGCAGCAGCTTCCCCCGGGTCGGGAGCCGCGGAGACAGCGGGGAGGCGCGACACCTGCCCGGGAGTGGTTCTGTCACTTCCGGGGTGCGAAGGGCGGGGGAGGCCATGGCTGAGGCTGCCCGGAGGCGGGGTCGCCGGGGGCCCCGGCCGCGGGCTTGGTCATTGCCTGACTTTGTGCTGAGCCTGGGCTCCGACACAGGTGCCAGGTTGCCTGCAGCCCCCGGAACGCGACCTTCTCTCACCGCCCCGGGTGCGCTGTTCTCCGCACGTCCGTCCTGCGCAAGTTCCGGGCCGGGGGCGAGAGACGGAGCAGGGCTTCCTGCCCCCAGAGCCCTCCTGACTCTCGGGAAGCCCTTGGGGTTTCGCCTGGTTTTGTGTCTGGTCACCTCACAGGGGTCTGCAGCCTGAGCAGAGGCTCTGGGTCCTCACGAACTGGACAGGCTCACAGGCACCAACCGGGTCTATGGCTGCGCATGCGGCCTTGCGCGGCCAGCCCGTCTGCTGCGGGGCCCCCGCTCCCCACGCGAGAGCTGCCGGTGGCCGGGGTCCCGGGCTGCTGAGCATTGAACCTCCTCCAGCATCGTGGAAAACACCGGCTTTCCCAGCACCGGCCCAGGGCTCCGGGCTCGGGAGGCGGGGGCCGCCCCCCGACACCACGTTCCTGGGACCCCGGGAGGCAGGGTGGCTCCCGAGGGCCTTCTCCCTCCTCCCGGGCCATAAGCCTGGTGTGAGCCCCCACCGCCCCGTCTCCCGGCAGCCCACCCCGACCCACGTCCTCCCAGAACCCAGGGTGCTTGTGAGGCGCCCCCTGCTGGCCGTGGTCCGAGCCCTCCGCTGGGAAACTGAGGCCCGGATGTCCGAGGCAGGTGCGCCGGCCCCTGGCCCAGGCTCTCCTGAGCACGCCGGCCTGCTCAGCCACGCTGTGCCCGCCGCCCGCCCCATCCCAGCCCCTCGGAACGATGTGGCCCCGCAGGCAGCCCACGGGGAGGGAGACGCTGAACACCCATGTCTTCTGGCGCCCCCACCCCGGCTCACCCAGCACCACTCAGGCCCGCCCCGCCAGCCGGCCCGGCAGCCCTCGGTCACGTTTTGGGGCCAAGAGCTGGGAGACAGCGTTGAGACACCCGTGGGCGCCCGGGGTCGCGCCCTGCTCGTTGGAAACTGCTCCTTGAATAATGACCCCAGGGTGTCACCGCTGTCCCAGGACAGAGGCCCCTCCCGGGGGCCCTCGGGCCACCCTCCCCAGGACCCTGGGGTGGCAGGTCAGCCCTGCGCGCCGGGGCTGCCCTGGGCGCCGGCCGCCGGCCCCTGCAGCATGCACAGCACGCAGACCGGCGGAGGGCGGGAGCCTTTATCCGGCAAACTCCGGCTGCGGCGCTCCCGCCCCGCCGCGGCCCGCGCTTCTCCCTGTGGGGTGCCGAGGGGCTGCCTGCGAGGGCTCCGTCCCACCCAGCGGCTGGTCTGAGGCCCGCCAAGCTATGCGGGGCGCCTGTCGCCAGGGCCGGGCTCAGGGAGGGGGTGGCCACGGCGTGCTCCTCGGGCCCCCTCCCCGTACGCAGCCTGTTGGGGCCGCTGCGCGGCTACAGGACACCCCCCCCCAAGTCCCCTGGGCCCACCCCCCAGCTGGTGGGGCCCGTCCCCTTGGCTACCCAGGGGACTGGGGACCAGCCATTCGGGGCTCTGCCCCCACCACCTGCTCACCGGAGGCTCCCCGAGGGTGTGGCTGCCCCTTTCCTGTTCCCGCAGGAGGAAGGCTGCAGGTGACATTGGTGGCTAGGGTCTGGCTAGTGTGCCACACCCCTCCCATGAGTTCTCTGGGGCCCACAGCTCTTCTTTGGGGGTCCCCTCTGCTCAGAGCCCCTTCCGGCGACCGCCCCTGTCACAGATATCCCTGCTCATGACAATGCTCCTACAGGTGGAGCCTGGGAGGGGCTGTCAAACAGGGGGACAGGAGCCCCCCAGGGAGCCTTCTCTTTGGGAATCAGATCCCCTGGGGTGCTGTGGGGTGGACATGTGTGTGTCAGCCGGTGACTGTGTGTGGCCGGCTTGCACGTCCGTGTGGACCGCCTCCCTGGCCCTGAGGGCGGTTCTGTCTGGCCAGAAGGCCTCTGCGACCGAATCCCGTTCTCCCCAAGCCCCAGCTCCGCTCCCATTTCACGGGGCGGCGGGGGGGGGGAGGCTGGGAGGCGGAGGGCAAGGCGTGAGGTCGTAAGAAGACGCTGAGGCAGGGCCCGTGCAGGGTGCGCAGAGGCTCTGGGCCAGAGAAGCCGGGCGACAGGACACCCAGGCGCTGGCAGGAGGGCCCGCGGAGAGCCAGGGTGGGCACCCCGGTGTCCGGGGCAGCCGGGCGGCGGGACCTGGGGCTGGGACGGCAGGTCATCAATCTCAGGGCTGAGAGAGAGCTCAGGGGCTTCCTGGGCTGTGGGAAAAGGGTTCTGAGCCCGAGCCTGGGGCTGAGAGCCCCTGTCGGGGGCAGGGCTGGAGGGCGCGGCTGGCTGTCCTCCCGACGGCCGTGGGCTCACCTGGCCGCAGGTGGGTGAAAAGGGACAAGAGAAGAGAGAACCAAACCCCCCCCAGGGCCCCTCGGGAGGGGGCTGCCAGCCGCCTCAGTCTCCAAAGCTGAACATCTCCGCTTCTTTCTCCTTCCAGAAGGCGAAGCTGCGGTCGATGTAGCCGCAGATGTCCTCGCTGTTGAAGCTGCCCTGCGGGGAGCCAGGCCCCAGCCGCCGCGCTTCAGGCTCGGGACCGCCGCCGGGGGCAGCGGTGTTGGGCAGGGGCCCGAGCGCGGTCAGGCCTGACTTGCGGCCCAGCTCCGGGTCCCAGGGGGGCCCGCGGTTGGCGCCGAAGAAACGGGCTTTGATGTCCTCGAAGCTGTCGGTCCAGGCACGGCGGCCCGAGGCCACCTCATCGGTGGCGGCCTTGTGGAAAGCCCGCACAGCCTCCCAGCCGTGGGCGCCCAGGTGCTCGAAGACCTCAAAGCAGAGCAGGTGGCGCATCTTCCGCTCCTCCGCGGGCAGGTCGCACTCCAGGAGCTGGAAGTAGCCCAGCATGAAGAGGTCCAGCGTGAGGCTGGTGTAGGGCACGGGCGCGCCGTCCACGTGGGGCAGGAACTGCTCCGGGGACAGAAGGCCGCGGGGCCGCCGGCTCAGCCGCCGCAGCTGCCGGGCCGGCACGTGCGCCATGACGGCCTTCCAGGTGCCCAGCAGGTGCGCGATGATGCTCCGCTGCTGCCACAGGTGGCCGAGCCGGGGGCCCTCGCTGGGCAGTGGCGGGGGTGGCCCGGGAACCCTGGCCGCCTCCGGCACCCGCGGCCCAGCGCGGCGGGCCTCCAGGGTCCTGCAGGCGGCCGTCTTGAGGGCGGGCGTGTAGGCGGACTTCTTCCAGTGGCTGAGGAAGAGCATGACGATCCGCTCCTTCCGCAGGTTGGCCAGGTCGGGGCTGTGCCCGGCGCCGGCCTCCGACAGGGCCTCCTCGCAGCTGATGCCGGAGTCGCTGGCCTCCTCCGTGTCGCCCGGCCTGGGCTCCCCTCCGATCAGGCCGCTCCGGGGCTGCAGCGGGGCCGGCCAGCAGCCTCGCGGGCACTGCCCGGGCTGGGCCCCCGCCTCACAGGGCCCCAGGTTTGGGGCGCAGGGCAGGCCGGGAGCCGACTCGAAGTTGCCACGCAGCGTCCGCACGGACACCCCGCACTCCTGGATCTCGCGCTGGGCCTCGCTCTGCGGGGCGCTGGCCGGGGCCTCCCTGCCGGCCTCCTGTGGGGGCTGGGCGGCCGGCCTCTCCTCGCCCTGCACCAGCCCGTTCATGCCCCTCAGCAGCAGCGACATGCTCCGCACCAGCCGGGCCACGTGGCTGCACCAGAACGGCAGGGGCTGCCCACCGGGGGTGGCCTCCACGGCCCCGTCAGAGCCCTCGGGCTCAGGCAGGGGGCCGGGGGCCTCCTCACCCTCCAGCCCGGGCGCCCGGGGCAGGAAGTGGCTGTTCACGGTGATGCTGACCAGGGGCTCAGGCAGCAGGGCCTGCAGCTCGGCTGCCAGCCGGCCCAGCTGGCTCTCGTACTCCTGGCAGCGCCTGCGCAGCTGCAGGTCGGCGATCTGCTTCTCCAGGTACAGCAGGTCGTCCTCCGTCAGCAGCTCCCCGAAGGGGCCCAGGATGGCCTGGTGGGTCTGCGAGTACCGCCAGGCGGCCGGCTCCACAGGGCCCGCGCTCCCGCTGTCGTCCTGGGCACGGGGGTGGCAGGTCAGCGGGGCGGCCGCGGGGGCGCGCTCCTGCTGGGCGAAAGCTCCCTGAGGAAGGCCTGCTCCCCGAGCCCCCGGGGACCCCAGCCCGGCCCTGGACACCAGCCGGCCTTCATGGCTCTTAGAGAGAGACGGAGGCTCAGGGAAGCCGCCCTGCCCCGTGGGGGCCGAGCCTTCCCCCCAGAAAAGGCCGGGGTGTCTCTGTTTGGCCACCCCCCAATCCTCCTAACCTCTCCCTCGTCTCCTCAATGTTTAATGCAAAGGCTCTACCCCCAGAGCCCTCCAGGTACTCCCACCAAACTGCGGAGCCATCTGCCATCTGTGGTACCAGGGAGGCCGCGGAAAACGGGCGGCCCAGCTGCTCCACTCCGGGCGCTCCCCAGAGCAACCTTGGCCCTCCCCGCACCAGACACAGCCCTGCCCCGCAGCGCTCTGAGTCTGAGGGGGCAGGCTCAGAGGGGCCCCGAGCTGGGGCCCTCTGGGTCCAGGCTGCGTGCTGGCCCGGTTATCTCTCAGAGCCCCCCAAAGGGGGTGCCCATGCCCGGTGAGGGCACTGAGCCGCCACCTGGTTGCCAAGAGGCCCGGGCTGCCTGGTGCCAGGCGCGCCCTGCAGCGAGGGTCGGGCTCCTTGGCCCAGCAGCCCCGGGGCGGGGAGCAGCCGCTGTCCTGGTGCCTGGCGTGCATTTAATTTTAATTAACTGAAGCCGCCACACATGGCTAGCACTCTGGCCTTGGACAGGGCTCTCTGCCCCAGGCCTGCCAGACCCCTGCATTCAAGCCAAGCCGTCCCTGGGCTCTGGAGCTGCGGTCCACGTGCAGCCCGCGGGAGCCTGGTACAAGCCAGTGAAGCCGCAGCCGGTCTCTGCTCAGGTTTTCAAAGGCTCCCCGGAGGCCTGGCCGCAAGTGGCCCTGCGGTGCCTGCGCATGCCCTCTCTGACCTCGCCTCCGCCCACCATCCCTCATTCACTCCACCCCCCGCCTCCTCCCGGCCGCCTTGGGCCAGCCCATTCTGCCTCAGGACCCTTGCCTGGGCTGGTCCCTCTGCTTGGAACCACCTGTCCCACACTCCCACGTCCCCCCGCCCTGCTCAGGGTCACCCCCCCCAGAGAGGCTGCTGAGCACCCCCAGGGAAGGGCCCTGCCCCTTGTCACTGCGCGTGGAGTCACCCTCCCCGCACACGCTCAGCCGTCCCTGCTGGAGGGCAGCTGCCCCACATCACACCCAGAACAGGGCTTGGCACAGGGAGGAGGGGACCCAACTCAGGTCCAGGAACCTGTGGGGACCACACCTCTAGCCCAGGGGCGGAGCGCTGCTCACAGCTCTGATCTTCCACTGTCTGGCAGGAGAGGGACCTGAGGCCACAGAGAGGCCCAGACCGGGGACCCGGGCCTCAGGACTCCAAGAGGGGGGGTTAGGGTCCCACCTTCCACGTCCACCTGCCAGGACAAAGCTCCGCCCCCGCCTCAGACCTTCGCCTCCGGCTCCACCCCTCCCCGCCTGACCACGCCCCTCTCCCAGCCCGCTGATCCCGCCCACCCCACCTGAGTTTCCTGCGCGGGGTCTGCGCCCAAGCGCGCCTGCAGCTTCCGCACCATCACCTGCCGCTTCCATTCGGGGATGGGCCGGCCGCGCTCATCCCGCGTGGGCACCAGCCCGTCGAGGTCGCCGGAGGGCATTCCGTCCAGCTGCAGCGCGGCCAGGCCGTCGGGGGCATTCGCCGCTGCTGACTCCGCCCCCTGCGCGGATGTGGGCGGATTACTCAGGGCCCCGAGGGGACGCTGCCCCGGGAGGGAGGAGGGGCTGTGAGGGCGTCAGGGGGCGGGACACGGCGGACGGCACTCCCAGCCTGGCAAGTGTGGACCGTCCGAGGGCAGGAGCCGCGGGGTCCCTTGCGGGACCCAGGGTACGTGGGGCGGGGTCGCTGGCTGAGAGGCAGACGTCGCTCCGGCTCGGCTGTGCCTGGCGGGGAAGAGGCTACCCAGGGCGTGCCATGCGGATAGGCGCACTCGCCTGGATAGCAGCGGAACGGACCAAGCCTGGTGGCCAACTCGAGCCTTGACGCGCCGTGCGCACTGTTACTCTCCAGGAGGGGGCGGCACTGTGCGGCATGTCCCAAACCCGCGAGGGCCTCGTCCCCAGGAAGAGGAGAAAGGAAGGGTGCCCCCTCCCGTGGGCCAGGGCGGTGGAGGGCAAGGACGCACCGCAGGGACGGCCGGCGCGCTGGCGGTGGCCCCCCGGGGAGCTGCGTCGGGGGTCGGTACCCTCTGGAGAGGCTGGTCGGACCAGGCAGGGCCGAGAGGTGCTGCGGCTGGGAGGAAGGGGGCGCTGGAGTCAGAGGGGCTCCCAGGGACGTCGGGGCCAGGGCCTGGGGGCCCAGGACCGCAGCGGGGCCAACCCTGCACAGGGAGCCAAAGACCCAGCGAGCCCCACCCTCAAAAGTGCCCGGGCAAACTCAGTCACGCTGGGGGCGTCCACGGGCCTCGGGGACCGGCTGGCTGGAGCATCCGCGGTTGGCCCTGGTGGTCCCAGCCCAGGGCCCAGCCTCTGTCCCCTCACCCCCGCAGCAGCCGGTGGTCTGGGGACCTCACGCAGCCCCTGGAACCACGGGGCCGGTCCTTTGCCGCCCCAGTGCCCCAACCCTGCCGCAGACGCAGGCCAGGGCCGCGCCCTGACCCAGGCCGTCCTGCGTGGCTGTGTGACCGCCAGGCGCCTGTGGCCAGCGCCGGCCCTCGCTCCACGGGGGCCTGCGGACGTCGCTCAGAGGCTCCATCCCCTATATAAATGCCCGTCATGGTCCTCGCGCTGGTCGCGACCCGCACTTAAAGGGCCTTGTCCCTGCCCCCTGCTGGCGTCGCAGACGGGCCGGGCTCCTCCGGAGGGACTCGGCCCTGGGCAAGGGAGGCCCCGAGAGGGGAGAAGGCTGCCCCACATCGCACCGGGGAGGGGGGCCAGCCCCGGGGCTCCAAGCTCACGGGGGGCCCAGGCTGGACGGGAGCCGGCGCCCACTGTGGGAAAGGCTGCTCTCGCTTCAGAGCAGCAAAGGCCGTAGAAGGACCCAGGAAGGAGCTGGCGGCTGGGCAGCGGGCGCATGACCCAGCCGTGTCCTGTGCGTCATCAGCGGCTCACCCCCCACTGTCCCCTCAGAGGGCCTCGGGCGAGGCCCCAGCACCCGCTCCTGGACAGGGGTACTCACGCGAGGGGCTCCCGAGACCTGAGCCCCGTCTTCCGTCCTCCGGGGAGCGCCTCGCGGCCGACAGCGGCGGAGGGGGGAACGGGGGCGGCGGGGGCGTCATCAGGAGCAGCGCCTGGGCGGGGACAGGCCCGGTCAGCGGAGGCCCGGGTGTGCCTGGCCTGGGGCTGCCTGGGCTGCCAGGTGGGGGGGTGTCCGGCGGTCCCGCTGGGCCCCGTCTTGTGGCGGCGGGGTGGGGGGTGGTGCCTCTCAGAACAGGCCTTGAGGGGGTCCAGGGCGCAGGAGTGAGTGGCGGCACCCCTCTAGCTCTGTCCCCTGTGTCTCTCCACCCCTCCACACCGGGCAACCAGGGCTCCCCAACACCCCAGGCACCTGTCTGAGTGCCCCCACTCACGCGCCCCCTCAGTGCTGTGGCCACCAGGCGAACCCGTCTCAAGGCGTGGCTCACGGGCTCCCTCTCGAGGCAGCTCCGTGAGGACCTGGTGTCCCGCTTGCGCTCACTCTCCTCCCTTCGGCCTTACAAGCCATGTGTGCACCCACGTACACGCACACACCCGGCCAGACCGCCCCACCCTCTGTGCTGACAGGAACTCCCTGGCGTGGTCCCCTCCCCGAGGAGGGCAGGTGCCGGCGCCAAGGCTTAGGGGAGTAGCCACCAGGAGCTGGGAGCTGTCCTCGGCCGCACCGGCGGGGGCCACGGCGCTGTGACCAGGCCGCAGCAGTGGCGCTGTGCCCAGGACCCCCCGTGCAGTGTCCTGCCCCCTCCCCGGGGCCGCCTGGGAGCAGGACACAGGACGGGCCCCGGGAGCCTGGGGGCCGCCGGGGCGCCTGCGCTTCGCCCCTCGCCCTGCGCCGTGTCCAGGGAAGGCGCAGCCCTGCGCCGGCCACCCCTCCCGCCCCTGAGCGCGGAGCGGAGGGCAGCCGGGAAGAGCCCGGACCAAGGGGCGCTCAGCCCCCGCGTCCGCACAGGCCGGGCGCACGGGGCAGCAGGCTCGCGGGCTGCCCGGGCCCAGCGGGGCTGCCCGCCGGAGGGCCGTGCCCGCCTCCCCGCCCTGTCTGCCCCCGCTCAGGTGGCAGAGACGGTCCCCAGGAGGAGCCGGAGCTGGCCTCCCGGGACCCTGGAGGCCTTCGGTGGGCAGCTGGAAGCTGACGGCGGTGCGGCCGCCTCTCTCGGCCGGGGGACGTGTGGGCTCCGGGCTGGGTGTGCACTGCCCCAGCGCCGTGTCCGCAAGCAGGGACGCGGCCGCAGGGCCCGCCTGCAGGGTGGTGCTGGCGAGAGTCAGCGGGGCGCGGCACGCGGCCGGGGCCGGGGCCCACGCTGCAGCCCGGCGCTCCGCTCCACGGGCCCCGCTTCGGCGTTCCTCATCGTTTGGAACGAGCGGCCTGCGGGTTCGTTTTGCACAGAGCTTCACGCGAGATGTCTCCGGTCACACCGGGGCAAACCCCTCGGCCACTCTGAGTGCCCCCTCGCTCGTCCACAGGCGGGTCAGCCTCGCCTCCAGGCAACGAGGTGGACCCCCAGCCGGCCGCCCCAGCCTGGCGTGCGCTCCTCACCCAGGGCCTCCAGCCCCTCGGTCTCCGTGGGCCCAGGACTCTCCACCCACCACGGCCACCAGGCGGGAGCCCGGCCCAGAGCCCCCTCTGCTGGGCCTCCACGCACCTCGCTCCTCGTTCCTCGTGGGGACCAGGAGCCCCAGCGTGCCACAGCTCGGGGAGCGCCTGCCCGCGCCCAGCCCGGTGGAAGCAGGGCTGGGCTGTGAGCTCAGGGAGCTGTGGCCGCCCAGGGCTGTCGGGGGCTGTCGCAGCTGCCGCCCCCAGGAGTGGGAGGCACCGCATTAATATTTGAAGGCACAGGTGTCAGGTGGCCAGGCGGGCTTGGCCTGTCCATGGGATCCCTTACCGCACGCCCCAATCCTCCGCGGCGCAGGGCCCCGGGAAGCGGGCCCTCGGGCAAGGCGGGGGCACCTGAGGTCCCGGGGCACCTGAGGTCCCGGGCCACCTGGGAGGGAGAGACCACCTAGGGGAACCCCCCAGTGCAGAACCTCCATCCCCGGGGCACAGAGAGGGCAAGGGACCTTCTCAAGACGCCACAGCTGGGACGTGGCAGGGCTGGGACCCCAGTCCTGGCTCCTGCCCGGACCGGGAGACCCTGGGGTCACAGCTGCCCCACGGTTGGCCCAGGGCCCCGGCAGGAGGAGAGAAGGCCGGCGGTACCCCTGCTCCCGCATCCCTGCTCAGGCGGAAGTCCTGGCCGCTCTTCACCCGGCGTTTCCCAGGGCCGCGCCGGTGCGGGGGACGCAGGCTGGCTCGCACTGCGACAGGGTAGCCCAGGCTCCGCGGTCCCCAGCTGTGTCGCAAACTTCCTGCGTCTGGGCCCCTATATCGTCACCCTGGGACTTGGGTGGGAAGGGGGCCCCACAAAACATGGTGCTTGCCCCGGCCCTGTATCTTGGACCCAGGAGTCTCCTGTCTTCTTCCAGCGTCCGAGACGCGGACGCAGCCTGGCTTAGGTGCTGCAACCAGGGCCCGCCGACCCCGGCCCCCGCGGCGCTGCTGGGAAGCTGGCGGTGACAGGCCGGCGTACGGCGGAGGGCTGGGCCGGGGCCCTCACTCCAGGGCTGCCCCAGTGCCCGGCCCCAACCGGCCGCCCTGCTCCCTGCCCTCCTGGGGGCCCTCGGCGCCTCCCCCAGGGGAACCTGCTCTGGGGGAGGGGCACGACCCTCCCCTGCCCCTTGGAGGCGCGGTAAGGGAAGAGGCAGGGCCTCGGAAGTTGCTCGGGCGGTAGCCGCGGCCAGGGGCCTCACGCCGCCCCGACCCTGGGCCCGAACCCCGCTCCCCGGCACCAAGCAGAAGCTCGGGGGGGGCAGCCCCGGGCCTCGGGGTCCCCGCCTGCGGGTCAGGGGGCGGCTGGCCCGCCGCGGGACAGACGTCATCGCTGTTGTCGCCGCGGTGTCTCAGGGCTCCTGGAACTTTGGCCGGGACTGGGGTCTGCTGTGGCGTTTCCCGGGCGACGGGTGTCCCCACGTTCCCGCGTCCCTCCCTTAGGCCGCAGACGCGAACCGAATCGACAGGGCAGGAAGGGGCAGCAGACGCAGGGCCCCGACGGCGTTGCCCCAGCTGGGCAGAGGCCCCGCGGCGGCGCCTCTCCCACGTGGGCAGCCGCCCTTCCTGGGTTTTTGGTGAGATTTGAGCGGCGCGGTGGCGGCCATGCATTATGCATGGAGGACAGCCGTGTCGAGCAGGGTTACAGCCCTGTAATGCCACCCGGGCCGGGAAAATCATGACCCGCAAGGGGTGCCGGACACCAGTCACCACGGCTGAGATTCGGTTACTGGCCGCGTGGTGAGGCCGCCCATCCCCTGGGGCGGAGACATCCCAGGGGAGCCCCTTGCTGTCTCTGGGCCTCAGTTTCCCCATCTGTAATGGGAGATGTCTGAAGGCCCTTCTGGACCTGGGGGGAGTGGAGCCTGCTGGGTGCTCCATGGGAGCCACCTGTAACCGGCGACTAGGCCCCTTGGTCCCATTTTACAGATGGGAAAGTCGAGGCTCAGGGGCGCTTAGAACTCACCTGCGCCACCTGGTGGTGGTGAGGACGGGACGGGGGCAGGGAGGACAGAGGTGCAGGCAGCGTGGCTCCCCCTACCACCGGCTGCTGCTCCCATTGGCCAGGACCCCACTCACACAGGGCTCCTCAGGAGGGGGCCAGGGTGCAGGGCCCCTCACGTGTCCCAGCCCTCACTGCGGACGAGGTGCCCAGGGAGCAGGAGGACTTGGCCAACGTCAAGGTGGGGAAGCCGAGGCAGGGCCTGGACGTCTGAGCAGCCGCAGACCCTGCTGCCCTGCAGACCCGCCTGCGAAGGGGTTGCCTCCCACGGGGCAAGTCTGGCGTCTGCCTGGGCAGCCCCATCGCCAGGCTGCCTCCACTGGGACCCGAGGCCTCTGCCACCTCCCCCGAGCCCGACGCGGGAAGAGGCCAGCGCCGGCGACCTCTGGGTATTGCGTTTCCATCAATATTGCATCAGGCGCGCCATCCCCAGCCGACAGCTGCCCCCGTCCCCCGCCCCCGCCTTCGCCTGGCGGGCCATGCGAGGCAGGTGGCTGGGTGGGGGGCACAGCTCCAGCCAGCGCTGAGCCGCTGGCGCCCCCTGCTGCCCAGGGCGCTCACTGAGGGAGAACAGAGAGACCCAGACCTGCCCCCGAGTCCCCAGCAGGCTCTGGAAGCTCACAGGACACAGCAGCCTGGAAGGCCAGGCATCTGGGTGTGAATGTGCCAGCCGAGGCGTGGGCCCCAGGTGCAGGCGAGGGGCCGTGGATCGGAAGGAGGCGGACAAGCCGCTCACCCTCCGGCCCTGCAGGCAGAGCGTATGGGTGGGCTGGGGGCCGCTGGCCGCAGGTCACGTGGGGGGCCGCCCATGCAGGCCAGGCTGGCTGGGGGGACTTGCTGACCTAGTGGTGTCACCAAGGAGACCAGAGAAGCCCCAGGAAAGCCGAGAGGGGCCAACTCCCCACGTCCCAGGAGAGCCCTCAGATCCCCCATCCACCCAAGGCTGTGGACACAGTGGCTGGAGGGGTGGCAGATGTGTGGGGACCCGCAGGTGCAGGGCGGGGGCAGAGGCCCTGCTTGGGCAAGGCCCCGGCCACGGGCACCGCGGTGTGGCCGGGCTGGGCACAGTCCAGGGTCTCAGCCAGAGGCCAGGAGGACCTGCTCCCCGGCAGCAAGTCCCCCTGCCTGGTCTCCGTCGCCAGGTCGACCCCAGTGGCCCCCGGGGCAGCCCAGCCGACGGACAGTGCACCTTGTCCACTAGAGCCGCGTCCCACAAACAGCGTCAGCCCGCACTGGGAAAGCAACCTTTACCCAAGCGACCCCCACTGACCGTCCCGTAACATGACGAGCGAACAAGTCACTCTGCAGCAGTGACTGCGGCTCTCGTCTCTGAAACTAGGGCTCCAGGGCGAATGGGGACGCAGTGCGTCCCCCGAGCCCCCAAGCTGCCCCCGACCCCGGCAGTGGGCGTGGGCGTCAGGTGGCGGTGGCCGGGAGGGGACGGTCCGGGGACCCGGGGCCAGGCAGCCCTACCTCCGCCGACCCCAGGTGCCCCGAGGGGCAAAGGGGGGCAGCAGCCCAGCGGGAGACCTGGTGTGGGGACCTCAGTGTCGCCAACTGAAAACGGGGCCCGGCCGTTCCAGGGACACTTCCTTGAAGGGGCAGCACTGAAGAGAAGGGGCAGGCTGGGGCTGCTTTGTCACAGTAACCGCCTTGGGCCCGGAATGGGGGTGTGGGAGGCCTGGGGCGAACCTGGCTGCCCGCTGCGGAGCTGCGGGCCCCGCCCACGCGGCCGTGCGCCCACCCACGCGGCCGCCTGTCCATCCACCCCCATGTCCGTCCACTTGCTCGCCGCCCAGCCGCTCCTCCGTTCACTCAGCAAACACTCGCGGCCTGTCAGGTGCTGGGGACAGGGCCGGCAGGGCAGGCACAGGAGCGGGGCACAGGCAGCAGCTGCCCTCTGGGCGGCCCGGGGTGGCCGGGCCCCACTGGGGTCGCCTCGCCGAGGACCCAGGGTCCTGCTCCCGCCCGTGGGCGACCTCGGTCTGACACAACGTCACCCTGCAGCCCTGGTCACGGGGGATCCAGGGTCATGAGCCCATGGCTCTGTGGCCCAGGCGGACGGCAGGCCTCGGCCAAGGCCCAGCCTCAAGCCCAGCCCTGGTCGCAGCCATCGATAGTCCTGGCCCCGTCCCGGCCGCAGCCACGGCCCCTGCTCGACCCCAGGCCCGGTGCCCGGCAGCTGACTTGTGGGCGGGCTCGGCCCTGGCCCAGGACCCTTCCCCTGCGATCGACACGGTGCACACCCCAGCCAACTGGTCCATCGGGGCGGCGGGGCCTCGACACCACCCCCCCGCCCCGGGTGACGGGCCGTGAATGAGACTTACGGGCCGGGCCGCCTCCCGCAGGTACTGGGCGCAGTCCGGGTGTCCGTGGTACTCGGCCAGGTCCGCTGCCGTGTAGCCGTCCTCGTCCCTCAGGGTGGGGTCCACGCGGTGGGAGACAAGGGTCTGGCAGCACTGCAGGGAGGGGCACAGGTGACCCCGGCGCCACAGAGGGCTGGCACCGAGCCCCCAGCTCCGGGGGGGACCTGCCCCAGGACCTGCGGCGCCCCCTGCACCCACGGCTGCCCGGTCCTGGCCCCCAGCCCTGGGGGCTTGGCACCCGGCCCTGCCAGGGCAGCCAGGCATCGGGGTAAGGCACTCGCTAGGGCCTCTGGCGGTGCGACGGCGGCCCGGTGGGACCCCCCACCCCCACTCTGCTCAGAGCCGACCCGGCCTTGCTCCGGGGGCCCAGGTCCCAGGCTTGAACCACAGAGCCCGCTGCCGTTTCAGCGACTCTCAGGGGTGTGCGTCATCGTCACGTGAAGAAACAGGGTGCAGGTGACAGCCTGGCCACTGCTGGGACTTGCGAACAGAGGGTGGTGGCCGAGACGGAAGTCGGGCCACCTGTGGGGTGGCTGTGCCAGCGGCAACAACGGCTGGGCAGGAGGGTCCTCGCCGGGAGCAGGGGAGCAGGTGGGTCGGGCCCATCTGCTCCCTGGTCAATGTGGCAACGGGGCCACACCCTTCCTAACGCATCTGGGAGGCACCAAGCCGGCGAGGAATTGCCAGGCCAAGGTCAGGAGACAAGGGCTGGGCGCCGGGGCAAGGGTCACACCGGAGGAACCGCTCTTGGGAGGAGTGAGGGCGGTCACGCTCAGGGCCCCCCCGCCCCCAGGCGGAGGGTGCCGCCGAGGAAGAAAGCAGACTCGAGGCCTGCCGGGGGCTCGGGGGCCTCGTGCCTGGAATGCGGGCTGGGCGATCCTGGGCTCCCAAGGCCCTCGTGGGCTGACAGGCAGAGGCGCACAGGACAGGCCCCCGGCCTCGGGTGACGTCTGCCAATCCCTTCTCAACTATGACGTGCGCCACCCGTCAACACAACCGGGAGCACCGGGAGCGAGACCAGAAGACGCGGCGCCGGCCAGCAGACCCACGGAGGCGGAGCGGATGGGCGGGGATGCCGCCTGCTCACGGCCCTCGGGGGAGGCCGGGCTGGAGGGCCCCGGCGTGGGGCGGACGTGAGAAGGGCTGATTCGAAGGCGGAGAACGTGAAAGTAGTAACCGCGTCAGAAACAGAGGCTGAAGAATTAGCGAACAGAGAACGGACCAGCAGAAGCAGAACACGGCGCGGTCGGACAGAAAGATGGGAACAGCCAGCGGCTGCAGTCGGGACGCAACGACAGGGACTGGGTTGGCCGAAAAGCCCGTTACGTTTTTTCATACGGTGGCTCTAGTGGCTTTAACTTCATTCGAAACGATTTTGTCAGCTTGCACTGGGACAGCCGTCATATCAGCGTGCATTTTTTAAAAAACTTATCAAAATTGGTAAATTTTTGTGTAGCTATTTTAATATTGAAGGTGGAACAAAATATATGACATTTTCCAGCACATTATGTTTTATTATTTCAGGAAATGTAGAAACACAAAACAAGATTTGTGCCGTGTGTGGCGAAGGCGCTGTGACTGATGGAATGTGCCTGAAGTGGTTTGCAGAGTTTCTTGGTCTTATTGACATTTTAGCCAAATAATTCCTTGCTGTGGGGCTGTCTTACGCATTGGAAGACCTTTAGCAGCGCCCTGGCCTCTCGCCACTAGAAGCCAATAGCAGGAGATGCCAATGTCCCCCACATATCCAAATCAATAAAGTCACTGGTGAAGATGAAAAAAAATGTGTCTTTATTTTACAGAAGAAACTAAAGGACTTTTTGGCCAATGCAGTAATATTAACCCCGGAATGAGAGAGAGTGGCGTGGGTGCCAGGGTCACGCCTGAGGGGAGAACGCGGGGAACCGCACAGACAGAGGGAAACACCACGCACACAACCGCGCGCTCGAGGAGCCCAAGCAGCCCCGGGCAGGATGCACACAAAGCTGTCACTCCTGGCGCTGTCGCAGCGGAGAAGCAAGCCCAGACAGGACGCGTGCCCTAAAAGCGGCCAGCAGGGAACCCTGAGCTTCAGACGGCGACGCCCCCCGCAGACCTCAAGATGGAGGCCGGAGGCGGGGGCGACGATGTCAAAGCACCAAATAGGTAAAACCTGCGAAGCTGCAATTCTCAACCCAGCAAAAGTATCCTTCAGTCCTGGAGGTGAACCAAAGCCGTTTCCAGACAAACAAAAAGAAACAGAACTAGCCCGCGGCACACCCCGCCTAAGGGACCGTCTAAAGCAGGGGTGTCCGACCTGCGGCCTACGGCCCGCATGCGGCCCAGGATGGCCGTGAATGTGGCCCAACACAAAATCGTCAATTTACTCTAAATATTATGAGATTTTGTGTATGTGTGTGTCATTGCACGTCGCAATGCAGTTAATGGGTGGCCCCAACACCACTCTTCCTCTTCCAGCGCGGCCCAGAGGCGCCCAGAGGCTGGACGCCCCGGAAGCATTTCTCAGACGGAGGGAACGGGGGTCCGTGGGGGCCCAGAGACGCCGGAAGAACGAAGAGGGAGGCTGTGTGGGCGTGTCTGAGGAAGTCTTTATCCATGGACTGAATAAAGCTAATACTGTCACACGGGGTTTTAAAGACTGTGGAAGTAAAACACATTAAAAATGGCAGCCTCCTCCCATTCTGGCCTCCGCCCACCCAGCTCCCCTCCCCGCGGCCACACAAGCCTTCAGGTTGTGACTCGCAAAGTCCGAGGCCACCCCGGAGAGCGGGGGCTGAGCGGACCATCGTGCTCAGCCCCCGCGAGCGCCTGTCCCCCAGACGGGGCAGCAGGCCTCCCCTCGGGGCCCTCGCTGCGCCCGGCACCGTTTCGGGGAGACACCGGGCCTCCTTTGGCCCTGCCAGCCCCCCCGTCCCTACCGGGCTCATCACGGCCTGTGTCGCACAAGACAAAACGAGGCGCCGGGAAGGATAAGAAGCCTCACGGGGTCCGAAGGCCAGGAAGCGGGCAGCTGGGTGCGCAGCCTTGGCTCCCCCAGTCCCGGCCTCCGCCGAGGACCCCGCAGGACGCAGGGCTGGAAGGCGCCCCAAGCGTCCGGCGGTCCAGGGTCCCCTTCCCAGTGTCGGACCCAACGCCCTCTTTTTATCACAAATACGTCCTGACCTCTCGCTCACTACGCTAAAATGAAGTCCATAGAGGCTACAATTTATCTGCACAAATGCTTTTTAACTAATGAGTCCTCCACTCTAACTCTAACATGAAAGGGAAGAGGAAAATAGTTCACTGTGCAACAAGCGGGCATTCGCTGTGTGAAGGCTCAGGTGTGATGACAGGGAGGACACAGCGCGGTGGGCGTGTCTGGGAGAATTAGAAAGCGCCGCCCCCCTCCCGCCCCCCACCGGGCGAACAGCCCGACGCCGGGCGCCCTGCGCTCGCCTCTGCCTTTGAGCAGCCCCTCTGGGCGTCGTGAAAAGCTGTGCCATGAATGACTCTGGTCCAGAAAAAGGCGAGATGTCTGGTGGTGGAGTCCCATCGGTCCCTCCTGCCAATACCGACCGGTCCGTGTCCGTCCGTCTGTCTGCGCATTCACCGCCTAGTCCCTCGCCTGTGTGGCGGTGAGCGCGCACGGCAGCCACGTGAATTCCCGACCCCTCCCTCGCCGACGCGGCCTCACCTCCATCTGTCCGTTCTCCGCCGCGTCGTGCAAGGGCGTCCCGCCCCACGAGTCCCTCATGATGGGCGCCCCCATCAGCAGCAGCCGGTCCAGGATGGGCGTGTGGCCGCCTCGCGCTGCGAAGTGGAGGGCCGTGGCCCCCTCGTTGTCCCGGGCCGTCAGGCCGATGTCCGTGAAGGTGACCTGGGGTGGGGAGGGGAGGGGGACGCTGCGGCTGGACGGGGCGACCGCTGCGGGGGCGCGCGCCACGGGGAGGAGGACGTGGAGGGCAGGGGGCGCTGCGCGGCAGGAGCAGAACCCCCAGGAAGCCGCGACAGAGCTGGCTCCCGCGCTCAGCCGTCATCGCCCCGGCCTGGCCCTCCGGGGCCGCGGACACCCTGCCCGGCCTAGTTTCTGTGGGGGGGGGGGGGGGGGCAGGAAGTCCCAGCCCTTCCTGGAAGACGGTGCCCCTCCCACCCCCAGCCAGGACGGCTGCGGCCCCAGGGCCTTGGGGCTTCCTTCCGGACAGAGGCCTGAGAGGCCCCTCCGTGGGCTCACAGGGCTGGGCCCTGGCGCTGCTCTGGGGCGGCTGGGCATGAACTAGTGGCCACGTGGCCCGGGCCAGGCACTGGTGACCGAACAGCCGGGCGCCCCCAAGCCTGAGAGCACCCACACGGGGACTCCTGGGGAAGGGGCAGGAGAGCCCCAGGGGCAGTGCTGTGGTCCCGCGGCCCTGCAGAGCCGTGCACCCCGGGCTGCACGCCGGCCCGGCCTGGGCCCGAGCTCAGAGCACATCTGACCCCAACGACTGAGGGTCCCCAGTTCTCAGGTCAGCAAACAGACCCAGGGGTGGGCCCCACACCCGCACCGCCCTGCTTGCTCAGAGAGTCTCTGGGGAGCAGGCAAGGACAGGGACAGCCCTCCGGGACCTTTCCGGGCCTCCCCCCGCCCCCGGCCCCCATCGCGACCTCCTTACCAGCCAGACGACGAGGGAGTAGTGGCCGCGAGCGGCGGCGGCGTGCAGCGCGCTCATGCCGTCCAGGGCGCGCAGGTGCACGTCCGCCCCGCAGTCCTTCACCAGGAACTGGGCCAGGTGCAGGTGGCCCTCCTGGCAGGCCAGGTAGAGCGGGGAGGCGCCGCTGCGCGTCCGCCGGTTCACGCTGCTGCGGGGGAGGGCGGGGTTCAGCGGGCGCTTGGACGGCGGGGCGTGTGGTAGGTGGGGTGGGGTGGGTGCCGCTCCAGCCGGGGGCCCAGACCGAAGGGAGGGGAGGTTGCGCCCCCTCCCTTCCCGCTGATGGCTCCCACTCAATCCCCTGCAGGGCTGCCCAGGTTTCGCGCTGCCCTAGGACACCGTCTGGGGCGGAGGTCCGCGGGGCGGGGCCTCTGGGCGCTGAAATCAGCTCCGCGCCTTGCCCGTCAAGCTGTGCGACCCCGGGACTGGCCGGCAGGGGGCGTGTCTCAGCGGGACGGGCCCAGTGGGCCCGCTGGCGGGGGATTCGGCACGGGGTCTGCTCTGGAAAAGGGGCCGCTGGGAGCGCGACTGAGGCGGCCGTACTGGGGCGCCCAGGCTGGCATTGCCGCCTCCGCCCGCGGCAGGGCCCGGTGGGTTCTCGGGCCCCAGCGAGCCGCTGCAGGGAGGGGCCGTCCCCTGCCCAAGGCGGACCCCACCCCTTGGTGACACTACAGTGGGTGCCAGGTGGGAATGTTGGCCCTGGGGCACGGGCCTTCCCATTAGTGTGCGTGTGCGTGCGTGTGCATGCGCTCTAGTGTGAAGCCTCCCGGTTCTCGAAGCGCAGAGACCACGTTAAAAGCTGCGGCCTTGCCCCGGCTGCTGCGGCTCGGTGAGCTGGGCATCACCCTGCGAACCAAAAGGCCGCTGGTTGGATCCCTGGTCGGGCAGAGGCCTGGGTCGCAGGTTCGGTTCCCAGTTGGGGCGCACGAGAGGCAACCAATCGATGTTTCCCTTGCACACCAGTGTTTCTCTCCCTCTCTTTCTCCCTCTCTTCCCTTCTCTCTAAAAAATAAGTACAATCTTTGAGAAAAGAAATCCACGGGTCTGAGAGAAGCTCCGTGGCCAGCGTGGACGCTCCGGGGAAGGTCTGCAGAGGCGGGTCCCAGGCCTCGGCCGAGGGGCTGGGGAACGAGAACGTGGTCCATGGCCGAGATGCCAGGTCTTGCCGTCATCGCATGAGGGGTCGTAGGACAGCCCGGCTGCCCTTTCCTGTCTCCTGCCGCTGTGTGTCTGCCCCGCAAGGCCCACGGCAAAGCCACCAGCCGGCCCCCTCGCCGCCTCGCTGCCGCCTCCCGGGCCCGGGTCCCCGGACTGCCCAACAGGCGGCGCTGGGGCCTCACCTGCCATGGGCGGCGGCCAGGAGCTTCAGGCAGGTCAGGTCCCCGCTGACGGCGGCGTGGTGCAGCGGCAGGGCCCCCTCCAGCGTCTCCAGCGTGGCCGCGTGGCCTTCCCGCAGCAGCCACTCCACCAGCACCGGGTGCGCGAAGCGGGCGGCCAGGTGCAGCGGCGAGACGCCTGAGGCGTCCTGGTCCTGCCGGGGCGCAGGTGCGCGCTGAGTTGGCGGCAAGTCTGGCTCAGTCCCGGGGGGCGGCCCCCGCATGGCCAGAGCCAGCCTGGGGCCACACTGCCGGGGACCCCGCCTGCCTGGGGGCCTCTGCTCCCGCTCCTCCCCCCCGCTCACCCCGGGGCCCTCTCTTTTCATTGAGCAGCTGAGCGAGCCAACCTGCTCAAGGCAAGAGGCAGGGCGAGGACTCTGCCAAGTCCGGTCTGCGTCTGGGACCCTGTCCCATGCAGGGCCCCTTGGCCCACGCACAGCCACACCCCTTCCCAGTCTCCGCTCGGGTCAGGAAGGTCCCCCTGGGACGAGCTCGGTGGCTGCTGTGTGTCTCAGGGCCCTGCCTCCTGGCCTCGGGGCCTCCACCCCGCCTACCCTGGCCGGCCACAGGTCCTGTGGCCGGGGAGCACGTCCCCTGCGGGCTGCCCCTCGGGGCTGTGACTGGTGGCAGAGTCTTCCTCTCCCGGGACCCAGCGGGCCACCGGTGCCCTCCTGTGTCCGGCAGACCTTGCTCACTGTCCCCCACACAAGGGGCAGCAGGCAGGCAGCAACAGGGCGAGGACAGGCCCTGGTAGAAAATCCCCCAAGCCCGTCACTGAGCCCCGGAGTCCCCTCTCTATCGGCTGGGCCTCAGCCACCCAGGCGGCTCCAGCCCCTGAGCCCCAGCACCCGCTGCATTTACCCATGGGCGCTCCCTAGGCCCGGGAGGGAGCTGGCCGCCCTGCCGGCAAGGCCGGGCTCCTGTGCGGGGTGGGGGAGGGAGCACCACGGGGGATGCACGGCGCTGCCGGGGGCGCCGCGGCTCGCAGGCTTCACGCTGCTTTGGGTGGGGCCGGAGGTGGGGCAGAGACCCACTGTACCCCCTGACTGCACCCTGGAGTTCGCACGGTGGGGCCCTGAGAGCGCGCGCCCAGGGCCGAGGTCCCCCTGGCTGACGGCCCACGGCTCGCTCAGTCCCCATGGCCAGGGGCCCCGGGGCGCCCGCTCACCTGCAGACCGCAGCCCCCTTCCCGCACCAGCCAGCACAGCTCGGCCAGGCTGCCGGTGGCGGCCGCGTCATGTGCCGGGGTGGCCCCGTTGTGGGCCCGCTGGTTGCCGGGCAGCTTGGCCCGCTGCACCAGGAACTTGACACAGGCCAGGTGGCCGGCCCGGGTGGCCTGGTGCACCAGGCCAGCCCCCAGGGCGTCGACGATGCCCGGGCCCAGGGCACCGGCCTCCAGCAGCCGCTCCAAGGTGGCCAGGTCCCCGTCCTTGGCGGCCGCGAGCGCCCGCTGCTCCTCCATCCTCCGCCTGGCCGCCCGCGGGCTCTCAGGCTCACGCACAGGCCGGGCTTCCTGTTTCAGGTGTGGACGCAGCTGCCGGCTCAGGTTCCCCGATAAGCAGCCCACAGGGCAGATGGGAGGCGGCGGGGGTGCGGGGGGGGGCAGGCCTTGGGGACCGGCCTCGCAGCCTGCCTGAGCCACCCCGATAGTGCCCAGAGTCGAGCGGGCAGGGGGTGTGGGGCGCAGGGGAAGGGCCCCCACCTCGTCCCGGTCAGGGGCAGGCGCCGGCCCCACGCTGGACCACCCTCTTCCTCCAGGAGGGGGCACGGGGGGCCCAGGAAGGGCGTGTGTCTCGGGCTGGGACGAACCTCCCACATCCAGCGGGTGTTTGCAGTTACAAGGCCCTTCCAGGAAAGCCGCAGGCCCCAGGCGTCTGCCGCTCAGCCTGGCCGTGACGGAGCCCCTGGGAGATGGGTCGAGTGAGGGCAGGCCCAGCGTGGGGGGCGGCCCCGGGGATGAACGCTGGGGCCATGTCCTCGCGCAGGAAGCGGGTGCGGCCCCGCCCCCCGCCCCCGGGGAAACCTCTGCATCCCGGTCCTGAGCTCGCTGGTGCACCATGGGCTGCGCAGGGCCAGCCTGGGGCTCCGCCCCGAGGACGGGGGGGGGGGGGGACAGGGGGGAGGGTCTGGTGGCCCCGCCTCAGCCCACCTCGACCGGCAGGGTCGGCCAGGTCGGCCGGACCGCAGCTCAGGGGCCGGACGCTGCAGCCTCCCTCGCAGCCTGCGCGCAGGGGACCGGTGCCCTGGGGGCTTCCAGAGGGGGCGGAGCTGCAGTGTGATGGTGCGGGACGGGTCGGGGCCTCCGCACGACCAGCGCGGGCACTCGGGGGCCCCGGGGGAGCGCCCACAGGGGGCCCACAGACCACGATACACGCGCCGGAGTCTTTATTAGCTCGTTTAATCCCTGACCATGTTTCCCGGTGCCGTCGTGTGGTCCTTTGCTCCTTCAGACCACAAGTCAGAAGCCCTAACGAAGGAGGTGCTCCCACGCACACTCTCTGTGAGACACGCCACTTGCTGCGTGTCAGAAGGCCACCCAGCGCCGTGGAGACGGCAGTGCCCTGCAGGTGAGATCCAGGTGAGGGTCGGGCGGCGCCGAGCTGGCCCCAGCTCCGCCCGGCGGCCCCGCGGCTCGGCTCTGTGGGCCGCGACCCTGAGTCGAGGGCCAGAGGGAAAGGCAGACGGAGGCGTCTGGCGGCCCTGGGGGGGCGGGGGATGCAGCCCAGCCGACAGCCGGGGTCCTGAGTGATGGAGGGGCCGGGAGGCGGGGCACCTGGAAAGGGCCTGACCAGGGCCTGGGAGAGCTGTCCCCGGGGAGGGGGCCGCGATCACAGCGGAGGCCAGGCCTCTGGTTTTCGTCACAGCGACTGACCATCGGTTATAAAGACCGGGGCTCTGTCTTCCGGATAAAAATGCCGCCTTCCACAAAGGACCGTGCACGACAGGCTCACTGCCCGGAGGGGAGCGCGGTCACGGCCCGGGCGCAGCCACTCGGACGGCACCGCAGGGCAGCAGCGACGGCGACGGCCCGCGGGGCAGCCGGGAGCCCGGCACCCCCTCAGACACCGGACGCGGGGCCGTCCAGGCCCCCCAGCCGGGCCACAGCCTGCCTCAGGTCCTGCACCGCCAGGTCCACCTCGGCCCGCGAGGTGTGGCGGCCCACGCTGAGCCGGAGCGCGTTCCTCGCCACGTCGAAGGGGATGCCGCAGCTCAGCAGCACCGGGGACGGCCTGCAGGGGCAAGAGGCCAGCGTCAGCGTCACGTGGGGAGGACAGGGAGGGGACGCGGCCCTTCGGCTCTTGGCGCGCTTCCCCCCCGCCCCCGGCGGACACGCTGTATTGCAGGTGCAGCTCGAAAGCCCCCTGCTCCTCCGCGCCCGTGGCTCCCCCGGGACAGGCCCTCCGCCCCCGGGCGTGGACAGACCCCAGCCGCTGCGTCGGCAAGGCCAGCCCTGAGACACAGGGGTTTCCAGGTCTTGGAGGAGATAGACGCACACGTGCACACGCACACGCACACGCATGCACAGCGTCTGTGGCTGTGGGCTGCCCCTCTGCTTTGGGTTTTCCCCAGCGCCCAGTGTCCAGCCTACAGGTCGAGCACGCGTCTCTAGATGGAGGCGGCCCTGTCACTAGGCTGTGAGTCTCTCTGGGGTCCTCCAGCCCCCAGGCAGCGTCCCAGGTCCGCCTTCGCAGGTCGCCCACAGGCCTCGGCAGACGCGGTGCTGGAATCCCCCCAGGCCCACGCGTGCCCCCCCATGGGGCCGGGTGACAGGCGGCTCCCTCACCTCCGGCCCCACCTCCGGCCCCCGGGCGTCCGAGCCGCGGGCGCTGCAGCCGCCCCGTCACAGCCGCGGGCGGTCCAGGCTGGGCACTGGCCGCCCACAGTGCTCGGCCCCGCCCTCCCCGGGCGGGGGCCCTCACGTCCACTCCAGGGGCCCCGCGGGCCCCCGGCCCCGGCCCTGCCGCCCTCCCAGGGCCATGCCGGACCCTGGGCCCCTCTGAGCCGCGCTGCCGGGCCCCCTCGCCCCTCCACCCCGCCCCCAGCGGTTAGGACTGCAGAGCGCACCTGCTGGCTTGGCCCCGCTCCCTCAGTTTCCTCATCCTAGAACGGGCTGCCCGGACCCCGCCCCGAGGGTCCCAGGGGCGCCCGTCGAGCGAAGGCGGCCCCCGCGGCTGTGTCCGTGCTCCGGGCTGGCCTGGCCTCACTGCTCCCAGCCGACGCTGGCTGCCCCGATGGCCCACCGCTGTCCCCGCCTGCGCGTCTGCGCATGAGGAGCCCTGGCTGCTTGGCCCAGCTCCGCCCCCACCTGGGCCCACCCCGCACTCACTGCCGCCGAACAGGACCCCCTTCTCTCCCTCGGGGACCTGGCCTGCCTTCCCATAACCCCTCCCGCAGCTGAGGGCCAAGCTTGCTTGCGCCACCGCCCTCGGCAGCGCGTGGACCTGAGGACACAGGGAGCACCCCGCCCCACCCGCCCTCTCCTCCCGGCCCAGCCCTAGCCCTGCCCCCCTCCCCCCCAGCTCCCTGCCAGGCCCTGGGGGGGCACTTACTGGTCCCCGTGGTCCGAGTGGCAGGCGGCCCCCACGCTGGCCTGCAGCACCCTGCACTGCGCCAGCACCGCGCGGCCTGCGGAGACAGAGCGCACGTCCCCGCTGAGGCGGAGGGTCCCGGTGAGGCCCCTGTCCAGCCCGCCTGCCTCTTCTCGGCTCCCAGGTCTGAGGCCTGTGCCCTCCTGTCACCTGGTGCCACCTGCTGGGGCCCGTGGCCCAGCCCCCCGCCCCCACGCGGGTGAGAGACTGGGCTGCAGGGCAGCAGGGCAATTGTGCAGCCGCCCCCGCCCGCCCCCGCCTCTCAGTCACTTGCCCCCTGGGGAGGGGTTGACTTAACCTGTTTTCTAAAGGTGTAGACACGAGGAGGCGGCGTCTCACGAAGCCGGAAGGCCCCCTCCTTTCACAGGCAGAGATGGGGGCGGGGGGGGGGATGACAGCCACAGCCCGACTCCCTTCCCACCCACATGGCTGTCACGGCGCACGGAGCGCCCCCACGAGGCGGGGAGAGTGCTGCTCGGCGGGCGCCTCCAGCTGAGCACGCGCACAGCCCAGGCCCTCGCTGGTGCAGCCCCGATGCCGGCTCCTCATGGCACAGACTTGCCGCCCGGGTCCCGTAACCCAGGACGGCAAGCCGGCCCCGGCCTCTTCCTCTAAGAGGCAGCGGCGCTCTGCCCGCGGGTTTGTGCCTCTGCTTGCCCTCAGCCAGGCTTTAGGGTTGCTGCCTCCACTTCCCCGACCCCACCACGAACCACCTTGTGGAATCTGCTGGCAGGAAAGGCCAGCCCGCCCGAAGCGAGGCCAGTCTCCCCTCCTTCCCTGGCAGCTTCGGGCGGAGCCAGGGAGAGACAGCGCCACGGAGCCCAGGCCTCCGGACGCACTGCCCTCGGAGCCGCCCATCCCCTTGGTCCCCTCGGTCCCTCGGCCAGCGGCCCCACAGCCCAGTCCAGCCCATGCCCACCACCCACGGAGAGACCGAGGGAGACGGTCGTCACCTTGGAGCTGGGGTCCCAGGAAGGAGAAGTTACACGTGTTGGGGAGCCGCTCCGTCCCAGGAAACTGGCTGTTCAGATGGATTTTCTTCTTACCAAATTCGGCCTGAGAAACCGAGGAGGCTCAGTGGCAGCTGCGAAGTCCCCGCCCCCCAACTGCGTGAAGGCCCCGCTTTCGTGGGGGACAAAGCTGCGACCTCAACTTGGGAGATCGCTCTCCTCAGAGGCGGAGGCAGCGGCAGGCAGATGTTCGGAGCGCGCACGCCCCTCCACGCCGGGCCCTGAACCGTTTGTCCTGAGTCCGGGAAGGACGGCCCGCGGGGGCCTGGCATCCTTTTGGGGGTTTCTGACTCGCTTAGGTCCCGTCGTTTAACTCTTCGCTCTTGCCTTTGGGGGCTCCCAGAGTCCCCACCCCGGGCGCCAGCTCCCTTCCCCCAGGCCATCGACCCCCGCGTCCCACCGGCACCCGCGCACGCGCGGCCACGCTCACCAACAGCCTCTCCTCCAGGTAGTCGCGAACGCCCCGCATGTGGGCCTCGTCAGCCTCGCAGGTCTCGGTCACCAGCTCAGCGGCCTGGGGACAGACACGGCGCGAGAAAGCGCGTCCAGTTAGTGGGACGCCAAGAACAGTGGGGGGCTTTAAGCAGCAGAGCGGCGTGTCCTCAGACGGCCGTTTCCTGGGACACGCCCGCTGGCAGCTGCAGGCGGGCCGCCCTGCGAGGGCCTGCGACGAGCCCTTGGAGCGTCACCGGCACCCAACCCTCGGGAGTTACCTATCGGGCCTCCCTGGGACCTCCACGCCCCAGACACCGCAGCCCAAAAGGCCCGAAGGAATCTCAGCCTGAAAGCATGTCCTGCCTGTCCCAGAGACGGGCAGACGGTGGACACGTGGGGGTCGTGCCACGCGCCCTGGGCGGGCGCCCTGAGGGGACACGGGCAGGAGGCATGAGGAGGCACACAGAGGCGGGAAGAGCGTTCCAGGCAGGGCGGGCACGTGTGCGAGGCCACGGGCGGAGGGGGGGGGCGTGCGCTCCTGGGGGAGTGAGAGAGGCGGTGGCAGGGTGGGCGACCCGGGGACAGGAGCCTGGGTGCGGCCGAGGCCCTCGGACCATCACCCGGCGCCGCGTGGAGAGGGGGAGAGACTGGCCGGGGTCGGCAAAGGACGGGACGTCCTGCTGAAGCGCCGGCGGCCGTGGGAACGGACGAGAGCCAGACAGGCCAGCGGCTGCGGCAGGCGTGGGGTCGAGGGCGAGGGCGAGGGCAGCTCCCAGAGGTCTGAAGGGAGAGCCTGGACGGCGGGAGGCTCCCCGGGGGGAAGGAGAGCGACGGAGCAGACAGTGGGACACGTCAGGGACCAGGACGGAACACCAGGCAGGAGGGGGGGCCTGGGCCTCCCAGGAGAACAGTCAGGACCTGCTCGGGCGTGTTGCGTTCAAAGACCCGCACTCAGGGGCCGTCCCAGAGAATCGCCCGGTGTCGGGGCGCCCCCCGCCCCCCACGCGAGAGGAGAGGGCCCGGCAGGCAGACCCCCAGGCCCCCGAGTCTTACCTTCCCCAGCCCGGCGATCATCGGGGTGTTCTCTGTCCTGCAAGACAGGGGTTCAAGCCTACGTCTGTGCAAAGCGACTGACAAGGGTCTCGGGAAGGAACCCTGTCTCCACGAGAGTCGTGTGTTATTTAACAGTGAAGACCAAATCACAGCGACATCTTTCCTACACGTGTGCCATGGGGTCGCCTCAGGGGCAGCCGCAGGCCCCAAACCCCCCCCCCCGGCAGGTCCCTGGTCCTGCGCAGGGACGGCCGACACAGCCCCCGACGGGCCACAGGCATCGCTGTCCTCGGTGACCACCCCGCCCGGACCTCCTCCACCCAGGAGAGACCGTCCTGGGTGGCCACGGGGCGCTGCCTCTTTGGTCCCCAGGCGAGGGCCCGAAAGGCTCCTTCCCCGCAGTGGCCCCGCGGCTGTGGTTCCCTGGAGCTCTCCGCCACAGAACGGCGGGACTCCGATACCGGGCTTCGGGGCGCACCGGGCGCGGCTCGCGCGTGCGCGGGCCTGTGGTGGACCCCTGCCTCCCTTTCTCCGCGATGAAGGCCCCGCGCAGGCCGCCTGCTGCGTTTTCCAGCAAACGGCCAGGCTGTCGCCAGCGCAGCTGCCCGGCCCCTCCCTGCCAGCCACGTGGGGGGCCCATTCTCGGCCCCCGGCCCCATCTCCCGGGCCCGGGGCGGCGGCACCGCTCCGCACGCGGCCACTCTGACAGGCGCGGCTGGACCTCACCGTTTCCTGGTCCTGACGATGCCGCGCCCCCTTTCACGGGCTTGTCTGCTGCCCGCACAGCCCCTCTGGCCAAATGTCTCTTCACGTCTTTTGTCCATTTTCTAACTAAATTGTCTGGGATTTTTTTGCAGTTGAGTTTTGAGAGTCGTTTGTATATTCTGGTGTTAGTCCTTTGACAGATCTGTCCTTTGAAATTATTTTCTCCTACGCGTACCTTGTCTTCTTATCCTCTTAACAAAGTCTTTTGCGAGACAAAATTTTAAGTTTTGATAAAGTTCAGCGCTCCACCCATCTTTTCCTTTCACGGAGGCTTTTGGTGCTAAAAGCCTTCCAGGTCCTAGGTCTTTTTTTTTTAAAGATTTTATTTATTTATTTGTTGAGCGGGGGCGGAGGAAGGGACAGAGAAAGAGGGAAACGTCGACATGTGGTTGCCTCTCACGTGTCCCCCACTGGGGACCCGGCCCGCAACCCAGGCCTGCGCCCCGACTGAGAATCGAACGGCAGGCCCTTTGGGGCGCCGGCCGGCGCGCAGTCCACGGAGCCGCACCCGCCGGGGCCGGGTTTGATTTCCTTCACCTGCATCACGCTGCCTTCAGCCTGCAGGTCCTGCACATGTTTTGTTAGATTTATACCTGAGTATTTCTAAATGATTGTCAATGGTACCGTATTTTTAATTGGGTTGTCCACGTTTATTATCCGTGTATAAAATTACAGTTGATTTCTGTGAGTTAGTCTTGTATCCCGTGATCTTGCTGAACTTGCTCATTAATTCTAGGTTTCTCACATATTCCTTGGGATTCGCCTCATAGACAGTCACGTGACCTACAAACAGGGGCAGCGCTGCCTCTCGCTGCCTTAGGGACTGACCGCTGGGCGCCGGGCGAGAGGGGACGTCCCTGCCCGCTGCTGGCCGCGGGGCCACGCGTCCAGGCCTCCGTGGGGCGTGACCGAGGCTGCAGGGCTTGGTGCTCTGCTCCAGCTGAAGTCCCCCCCAGGCACATTGTGGTGAGAGTTTTTAACGAACAGGTGCTGAATTTTGTTAAATGCTTTTTCTGTGTCAAATGATATGATCACGTTATTTTCCTTCTTTGATATGCTGGATTCCATTGGCTGATTTTTGAATCAATCCCTGGAACAAACCCTACCTTCTCATGGCATATAAATTACCTTCATATCGTGCTGAGCAGTATTTGCTAGTAGTTTGTTGAAGATTTTCACACCCGCACTCGCGAGGGATGTTGGCGGCGGATTTCCCTCCCCGACTGTTGGTTTATCGCTGCCTTTGTCTGGGCCGGTGTCCGGCGCCGCCGGCATCGCGAGGCCAACTGGGGAGCATCCCCCCTGCCGTTTTCTAGAACAGACCGCTTAGGCATGACGTCAGTTCTTCTTTAAATAGTTCGTAGACGTCACTGCGGACCCATCCGGACCCGAAGAGTCCTTTTCTGGGGGTTTTAAAATCATGAAACCAATTTCCTAACCATTACCGCACTATTAAAAGGCTAGTTTCATAGCAGGCGGAAGAGGGACGACAGTGGGCTGTGGGTCTTGTTGCCTCACGGCCCTTTCGATGCGTGTGGCATCTGTAGGGACGTCTCATCTCAGCCCTGTCCAGGCCCCGAGACGGGCCCCAGCGCGGGCGTGGCCCAGCTCAGCGCTGCTGGGGCGCAATGGCACGTGTGTTTTCAGGGCTGGGTGCAGGGCGCTACACACGTGACTGGATCCTGTTGGTTGGAGGGGGTCACCGAGGTCTTCCCCGCTCTTGCTGTTTTTGGCCTGGCTGCTCTGGCCCCCGCAGAGTCGTGGAGCCGTCTGTTTCCCCGCCGGTCCTGCAGGTTTTGTCTCGTCCCCTGCCGCTCGGCGGATGGGTGCGCCCACACCGAGGAACGCTGCGTCTCCTTGCGGGTGGGCCCTTCATCGTTAGGCAACGTGCCCCCCTCCCCAGGGGACCGTCGTTGCTCTGGAGGCCCCTTTATCTACCAGGATACGGCCGTTGCTGCGTTCCTCGGCCCGGTCTCCGAACGCCGCGTGTTTCTTAATTCTTCACCTCCCCGCCTCTCCGCCGGAAGCCAGTCCCCCACAGAGGGCACGGGGCCTGCCCATCGCCCCTTCAGGGGCTGGGTTCAGCCCACTTACATTCAACGCGCTTTCTCACGTGCGAACCTAAGCCTGCCATTTTCTCTTCCCCCGGTCTTCAGTGCTGTTTTCTCTTTCTTTCCGTGGGTTACTTGAACATTTTTCAGAGGTTCAAGTAAGGGATCCCTTACTTCCTTTTACACCCCCTTACCCTCCTCCATTGACAATGACCTTAAGTGTTTCTTCCACAGACGCCCGACCCTGCTGCTGTGTTTGCCTCAGCGGCCAAGCGTCGCTCCGTCAGCCCCGGAGGCGGCGGGGCGCCGGTCTCCCTCACCCCCGATTTCGCTCGCTCCCTGCGCCCTTCCTTCCGGGATCCCAAGGCACCTCTCTCGCCAGCTCCCCCCTGTTGACGGGCTCCCCCTTAGTCCTTCGCAGCCCCGGCCCCCCTGCACCGGCGCCCCGACGCCCCGACGCCCGCCCTCCCTGAAGGCTGGGCCCGCGGGGCGGGCGGCCTGACCGCCCCGTCCCTCCGGTTTCCGCCGAGAAACCCGTCGTTGGCGTTAGTTCCCCCTCTGGGTGAGCTGTCATTTTTGCTCTGGCTGATTTCGAGGTGTTTCCTTTGCCTTTCATTTTCAGGTGTTTAATTACGTCGTGACATGGATTTCTTGCACTTCACCCTGTTTGGGGTTTGCCCAGCTTCTGAAACCCGAGAATGTGGGACGTTTTCAGCCATTATTTCAAGTGCCCGCCCGCCCGCCCCGGCTCCTCTCCTTCCGGGGCCCCTCCGCGCGGCGCCTGCCTCTCCCACCACCCGCACGCGGGGCCCCGGGGCTCCGCTCGGTTTTTTCTGCTCTATTTCTGTTCTGTTGCTTGGGCTGGGTAATTCCATGTGTTCTTCTATCTTTCAGTGCACGGATCCTTCCTCTGACCCCTCTTCTGCCCTTGGCCCACCCACTGGATCTTATCTTGGTTACCGTGGCTTTTAGCCTGAAGTTCCCTCTGAGCCCCCGCCCCCTGTCGCCGCTGACACCCTGCCCCCCGTTTCTGGGGTGCCCACTGAACCGCTTCCACCGCGTCTGCCTCAGAGCCTTCGCTGGCAGCTCCAACCCCGTCAGCTCCGCGTTGGCGTCTACCGTTGTCTTTGTTCAAGTTCCTGGCTGCCCCCTCGTGCCCTGGATGACGCCTCCCGAAGGGGCCCGATGTCTGTGCGTGGCCCCGCTCGTCCCCCTGGTCACAGCAGCACGTCCCAGCCAGGGGGACCCCTCGGCACCTCGGAGGTGGCCGAGCACAGTGACAGGGGACCGATGCTTTGCAGCAGTTTAAAGAAGCTGAGAGTTCCTGCGTCTCCAGATGGCCTGCCCTCTGTGACCGCCGTGTGGACCCTGCGGCGAGGGAGGCTGTGCGACACCGTGCTTCTGAGGGACAGAGTGAAGCCACCGCCTTCGATGCGCAGCATGGCAGTTGGTCAGACACCCTGCCACCCCCGCCTTACCCCGGCCTGAAACTCCGCTCCTGTCCGCCTCCAAACAGCACGGGGTACAGTGGGGTGCGCTCCCCGAGTCCTCGGACGTAAAGTGCGCCGATCCTGGGACCGTAGAACTAAAAGGACAAGCCAGCCATTTACTCAGCCTGGGCCTTCCCAGGACAGGCGTGCGCTGAGCGCGAGGGGCACCCAGAGACCCTCCCCCAGTGGGTGGGCCCCACAGCTGTGCGCTGCACCGCTCGGGACACGCGGCGTCACAGGCCTTTGGGAGGCGGCAGGTGGGCCCGTGTCCCGGCTGTGTGGCAGCAGAGCCCCCGTGCATCACACGGGCGGACTTGTGAAAGGGCAGACTTGGAACTAGAGATCTCCGAGGGCTTTTCTCGTGTGAGCCCAGGTTTTCACATCGAAGTTAACCACATGCTCTGAGTGCCCCAGTGCGGGGCCTGTAGCGCCCCCGCCCGGAGCAGGCCGAGCCCACGCTGAGCCACGGAGCGCGGAGACACATGGGCTGCGGTCACCGCTGGGAGGCTGCGCGGCCGCCTCGGCAGGGTGCTCAGGAGAAGCCATTCCCCACCCCCACCTTAGACATGTCGCTGCAACCACACCTCCACCGGTGCCCCGAGGTGCAGGAAGTGACACTTCCTGGAAGTGTCCCCGTCCTTGGGGGGACAGGGGGCCCACGAAGGGCCCGCGTGCCTTTCCCCTCCCCCCACCCAGCACCAGCCACCCTGCGCCGCCACAGCCCCGCCGGCCGCGCCCCTCCTGCGCTGGGTGGGCTGGGCGCCTGTCAGGTGACAGGCGTCCCCGCGACCGCTGGCCCCCCTCCTGTGAGCCCGGGGGCAGCGAGGGCTCGTCGCTGCGTCCGGGGCGGCTCTCAGGTGGCACTTGAGGGGACAGGTGAGCAGTGAGGGTGTGGCGGGCCCCCAGGGCGCACACACCTTGTGCCCCACGATGGTCAGCAAGTCCACGTCCAGGTCCTGCACGTCCACGCGCCTCTTGCCCAGGGCCTGCGCGGCGTCCGAGTGCAGCAGGGCAGCAGGCCGCCCGCAGGCCGCCCGCGCCCGGTTCAGGGCTCTCACTCGCCGGCTGATTTCGGGGACGGGCTGAGGCGGGAACAAGAGAGGGTTGAGCCTGCTGCTTGGATCGGGTGAGAACGGAATGAGGAACTCGGGGGGCCCTCCGAGGCCAGGCCGCGGGGTCGCGGAGCTGAGTAACGGGGCGGCCGGGCCGAGGGGGAGGGGCGAGCGACTCACCATGACGACGCCCGTCTCGTTGTTGGCCAGCATGATGGTCACGAGGCAGGTGGCTGGGCGGACAGCCGCCAGGACGTCGTCCGCCTCCACTCGCCCGCTCGCCGGGGACACCGGCACGAAGGTGACCTCTGAGGCGTGAGACGCAAGCGCCACGTCAGCCCTACAAAGGGCCCTCTCCCGACAGTTCACTTACATGCAGCCTCACAAAGCTTCTTATGCAACTGAGAAGCAGTTTATTGTGAAAGTTCAGAAAACCCCGAGAAGGACCCTGAACCCCCGTTGTCGCCCTTCCCAGGAACAGCCGCCCTGGTCGCTTTCTCAGTGAAGCTTCAGGGGCTGGGCTCACGCTGCTTTCTGCCTCCCGGGGACCTATGAACTGGACCTCAGGGACCCCTGACCTTGGCCTGCACTCACGCAGCGCTGAGCACGCACTCACTCCACACACGATCCTATTAATAACCACAGGAAGGCCGTGGAGGTGGCTAAACAGAGGGGTTTTGTTCAACAGACAAACTCGCCCTCTATCCCCTCAAGGCCCCTCGGAAATGAGAGAACGGATATATTTCTGAAGAAGGAGAATCACCCGCGGACAAGGGACACTGCAGAGTCCCCGAGAGAGGACGGAAGGAGCGCGGCAGTGGGTGAACAGGAACCGGCGGGACAAAGCCGGAGCCAGGCCGTGCCAAGGGGCGGCCGCCTCCCACCCGCCCGGCGGCGGCAGCGCAGGCAGGCGCAGGCGCAGACACCGGCGAGGATGTGGGGAAGCTGGAGCCCCCGTGGGAGCCAGTGGGGGCGCAGCGGCTTCGGAACAGAGGCCACGGCTCCACGCAGCCGGGGCCGGACCCAGCTCGGCCAGTCCCGCGCGCACGCCAGGGGCCGGGGCCTCCGAGCGCCGCGCGCCATCCGCTGGCGAGCGGGTGAGGACAGCGGGACTCTGACTCACAGAGAATGAAGCTGCCCCTCCACAGAGTGAGCCGAGCGCCGCACCCGCCGCCACGCGGGCGCACCCGGAGGGCATCAGGCTGAGAGGCCCATCGCCCAAGGCCACGCGTGACATGGTTCCGTTAGCGTGAAAAAGCCCGGATGGGGAAGACTCTGGAGACAGAGCGCGGATTCGCGGGTGCCCAGGGCTGAGGGAAATGTGGAATCGTTCAAAGGCACGAGGCTCCTTTTGGGGTGAGGAGGTGTCCTGTGACCGAACGCGCTGGTGGCTGTGCCACACACTGCGGAACCGCACGGGGTGACAGTCTGAACCCTACGGCTGTGTGACACTAACGAAAGCACTTGGGGGGGCGGGGGGCGCGTGAGGTAGCAAACAGATGCCGGCGCTGAAATAAAGATGCTTGTCTGGCATTGAGTGTTAGGTTGGAATGAAAGTGAAATGTTACACACACACACACACACACACACACACACACACACGCACGCGCGCGCCCTGGCTGATGTGGCTCTGGATTGCGCCCTGGCCTGAAAACCAAAGCGTTGTTGGTTCGGTTCCCAGTCAGGGCACAGGCCTGGGGTGCAGGCCAGGTCCTCAGTTGGGGGTGTACGAGAGGCAACCAATTGGTGTTTCTCTCCCTCTCTCCCCCTCCTTTCCCCTCTCTTTCTACAAAAACAAACAAAAAACCCCTCCAAGCTGTCTTGAGCAGGAGGGACTGGGGGCCACTTTGTACTTGACACTTTTCTATAATGTTACAATTGTTTCCATCATGTGCATTTTTATACTTTGTAAAGATTTGTAAAATTGTAAAGGAGGTTAAAGGCAACAGTAGCTAAGAACAATGTATACTAATTGCCCTTCCCTGCAAAAGTAAGGTGAGTAAAAGGTCTCAGGGATAAAAGGAACAACTTAATAAAGAGGTTAGACTTGACTTTAAAAAAAAAAAAGAACTTAAAATTAAACTGGTGCGTTTGGGTAAGACCAGAAGGAGGAAGGCCTTTCTGGCGTCGCACAGAGGGCGTCCAGGCGCCGGCGGGCGGGCAGGCGGCTCGGCAGGGAAGCGGGGGATGCGGGGGCTACCCCCCTATGTACAGGAGAGGGTTAGCCTGGCTGTCTTTGGGGGGAAAAGGCACTTAGGTTTTCTTTCCTTTCATACTTTTATTTTTTACAACACTCCATTCTTTTTTAAAAATGATTTTATTTATTTTGTTTTAGAGAGAGGGGGAAGGAGGGAGAAGGAGAGGGAGAGGAACACTGATGTGGGAGCGAAACACCGGCCGGTTGCATCCCATATGCGTCCAGACCGGGCCGGAACCACAACCCAGGCGCGTGCCCTGACCGGGAACCGAACCAGCGACCGTTGCTCGCTTCGCAGGGCGACGCCCATCCCGCTGAGCCGCAACCAGGGCGGCTCTTACGTTTTCAAAAGTCAGTGGTCTTCACCTGCGTCCTGAGGCCTCATATCACAGGAGAAGTGAAAGCGGGACAGCTCCTTCCGCGTGACAGCAGCAGGCCCTCCGTCCCTGCTGGCCATTTCCCTCTCGGGAAGGCCCCGGCCACCCTCCCCCAGCCTCACTGCGGGCCTCTGGCTCCCGCCACCTGAACTCGGCGACTGTTTGGTCTGTTTTCTTCAGAGAGGAAATGGGAGCCAAGATCGAGTGATCAAAATCAAACAATGCAAAGCGCCATTTAGTGTTTATAGACATGCTGTTTAAATACGCACTGGGCGCAGCACCTGGAGTATCGCTTGGGGACACCAACGACCGCCCTGCACCTGCTCGTCACTTTTCTTTTTTAAAAGTTTTATTTTTTTATTTTTAGAGATGGGAAGGGAGGGATAAAGAGAGGGAGAGAAGCATCAATGTGTGAGAGATACAGTGACCTGTTGCCTCTGCATGCCCCCCGCTGGGGACCCGGCCCACACCCCAGGCCTGGGCCCTGACTGGGAATCGAACCGGCGACCCTTTGGTTTGCAGGCCGGCGCTCAGTCCACTGAGCCCCACCAGCCGGGGCCTGTTCACCACGTTCCCTGCTGCCACCCCTGGGGCAGCCTGGAGGGCAGCTGCGTGCCCTGAACCCGAGAACAGCCAGGGAGCCCATGCGCAGGAGGGCAATGACCTCCCGCGCCCCCGGGGCCGCCCCCGCCCCGAGCCAGTCAGGCCAGCCTGTTGGAGCTGCCCCCGCTGGGGCCCAGCCCGGCGGGTCACTCACCAGCCTCTCCTCTCTCCACCATGCGCTCCAGGGGCAGACGGATGGAGTCGTGTTCCACAGTGCAGGTGACGATGTGGGGCATGGCCCCCTCCGCTGGGCCGGGACGCTTGGCCACGTCCCCCTCGGAGGCATGGGTTTTGTGGAAATGCGTCACCACGGAATGGAGCACCCAGTTATTGGACTGCAGAGATACAGCAAAACACCATGCACAAAGGCTGTCCTGGGAGCGGGGTGGGAGCAGCCCCCCACCCCCACCCCCACCCCCACCCCACCGCCACCCCCAGGACAGTCAGAGCCTAACACTGAAAAGAGAGAAAAGGGCCAGCTTCCCAGGCTGACTACAAAGGCCTCGCTGCCAAGACTGGGGGTTTCTGGACTTGCAAAAGCGACAGAACCCATTTCTGGTCAATTACGCCTGCTTTGCGTAATTATGCGTGCATACGCCACTTACGCCGGTTTACACTTTATAAATCTGCCAGAAAAGCTGGCCTTGCCCAGCTCCACAGCTGGGGGGCGTCGCCTGGCACCGCCGTCCAGGCCCTGGGGTGTCCCCGGCGCGAGCCCGGTGAGCCTGTGCCTTGGACGCACCCCACGGCAGTGCGCACGGAAGCAGTGCGGTGGCCGTGAGGGCGGTTGGTGGCGGGAAGCAGTGCGGTGGCCGTGAGGGCGGTTGGTGGCGGTGCCGTCTGCAGTGGCGGTGCCTCGGGAAGCCCTTCCCGGGCGCCAGTAACGGGACTTAGACGAGCGATGTGATGCAGTTCAGCGGAAGGCGCGCAGACGTGGAGACCCCGAGCGGCGCCCTGTGGCCGGTGCAAAAGCTCCGCACGCTGGCCAAGCGGAAAAGGCGGCAAAGGTCGTGGGCAGCATCCCACAGGCTGTATAAAGAGGGCACAGCCGTGCATGTCTGCTTATGTACACAAAGAAGTCCCTGGAAAGGTACAAGGGAAGGGAAAGACGACGCGAATCTGCGTGCTCGCTTGCATGTCCCGCGCAGACCACCTGTGGAGGGCGCAGGGCTAACGGGGTGTTGGTCCCCTGGAGAGGGGGGCAGCCACGACCATGCAGGGAGGCGGGGCGGGAGGGGCCTTTCTATTTAAAACAAAAGTAACCTTTTCTCTTAAAGGACAAGAAATACTAACATGATTTTAACAAAGGAGGACAACAGTGGCACCTGAGTGACTGTCCCCGTCAAGACGGCGGCGTGGCTGGCCCCGAGCTCCGTGGCCAGGGCGAGCTCCGCACCGGCTCTGCACCCTGCGTCCTGGCCTCACCACGCCTGCCCCTCGGTGCGCGCCCCCGGCCGCCGCTTCCCAGCCTTCGCGGCTGAACTGAACCGAACCAGACTTTTCCTGTGGAGAGGCGGCCCCAGGCGTCCGCGCGTGGGAAGGCGGTGGGTCTCGCGGGCCCTGCCCACAGCAGAAGCACGTGGGAACAGCGGGCACCTGGCGAAGGAAGAGGCCGCCCGCACAGGTTCCGCTGCTCTGAGACGCATCAGGTTAGGCAACGGTGAGGACTCAGAAGTGCTTCTCCAAAAGGTGACGCTTCCTTACCAGTCCCAGGTCGCGGCCCCCAGAAAACGTAGCGGCCCACCTGGCGATTCTGAGCTCCGTGGCCGGAGGGGCCAGCCACCCCGCTTCAGGGGCCGGGCCTGCACCCCGTGGGTCACCGGGGATGCCCGTGTACGAGGCGACCCCAGGGACCGTGCCCGGACGAAGGCGCCCCGGCCCCGCCCCTGGCCACTTCCGCAGCAGGCAGCCGGCGGCAGCGCCACAGGGCCTCGCACTCACCGCTGTCCTGAGAAACCTTGCCATGGCCGCACTCCCGGCGGCCGGGGACTGAGGGCTCTGTCCAAGCCAGGTCCTGGACCCTGCGTGCACCCTGTGCTCCCAGGGTACGGCGCTCTGGGAGGGACCAGAACAGCCACCGGGCTGCTGGTCCTGTGGTGACGGTCCCAGCGCCTGGGGACCTGGTGGCGGCGCCCCACTCTCACTACTCAGCCGGGCCACCTTCCCCTTCCAGGGACCCCTCGCCCTCGGCACCGTGAGCCCCACCCCCTGGTGGCAGAAGGCTGCGGGTGTCGCTGCAGGCCTGTGCCAGGAGGTCAACCTTGAGGGATGTCTGCTTGTCCCGGGCTCTGGCTGCCCTGAACAATGCTGCTGCGAACAGTCCTCAGCCGTCCCTGGTGCCCACGCGTTTCGTGTGTCTGGGACATGCACCCCGAGTGGGGCTGCTGGCTGAGAGGGTCAGCGTCGTCCACGGCGCCTTCCCAGCTCCCTCCTACCAGGCCAGGCCGGGTGTCCTGGGCCTCCCGCCCTGCCCCTGCTCCCCGCGCGGGGGCGCTGCCCTTGGCGGGCGCGCTGTGCGCTTCGGTGGTGTTCACTCCCGGACTCGGTCCCTTCGGAGGCTGAGACCTCACGCTGTAGAAGCCACCGGGGCTTCTCTGTGCGACACGCTTTCAGGCGCCGCGTCCACATCTCTGCTGGGTTGTCGCCTGCAGATTCCGAGCGCTGTCCCGTCACGCGTGTGCTGCGAATGCCGCCTCCCGCGTCCAGCTTGTCTTGTTATTCTCGTCACCATGTTCTTTGATGACCTAAAATTTACTTCGTTGTTGTGCCGGTGGTAGAATGTATTCATCTTTTCCTTATGGTTAATGCTTTTTCTTGTTTTTCTTTTTCTTTCTTTTTCTTTTTTTTAAAGATTTTATTTATTTTATTTTTACAGAAGGGAAGGGAGGGAGAAAGAGAGGGAGAGAAACATCAATGTGTGGTTGCCTCTCGCATGCCCCCTACTGGGGACCAGGCCTAAAACCCGGGCGTGTGTCCTGACTGGGAATCGAACCAGCAACCCTTTGGTTCGCAGGCCAGCACTCAATCCACAGAGCCGCACCAGCCAGGGCAGTTAATGTTTCTTATAGTTAAGAAACCCATGACTCTCAAGATCCCGATACTCCAAGGCTGTAAGAAGCACTCCATGAATGCATGAATGAGTGGAACAACAACTCCATGTCTCTCTCAAATAAATCAATAAATTAAAAATTAAAAACATTTTTACTTATTACCTAAAAGCTTGATAAATTTTACTTCTCATGATTAGGTCTTTGTTACACTGGAGCTTTTCTGAGAGCGGGGAGCTTGGCATGTTGTGACGCAGAAATGCAATTTCTTGTTCTCTGTGAACGCGCAGCCCCCAGCCGCACTCGCTCAAGGCCGCTCTTCCTTCCCGCTGCCACCTCGGTCACCCCCGGTGATCACGCGCCCTGCCATCTGAGCCAGGAAAGTGTGGGGGCACAGCCAGGCCAGCACGACGGGCCTATCCAGGACTGTCCCGAGCGAGCGCGCCGGCGTGCGTGGCCGCCACGGTCGCAGGAGGAGCCCGCGCCCGTGCTTGGCTGTGTCGGGTCCTCCCCGGTGGCAGCTTGCCTAACGGCGCGCTGGTGGGCAGAGCGAGCCACTTCCCCATGTCCTTTGCCTTCAGGAAGGCCTGACAGCCTTGGCTTTTGTGTTTCCATATGACTTAGGTTGAGATTCTACCGAAAAAAGCGTCAGAATTTTCATTTTAATGGAGGCTGCATTGAATCCACAGAGCAACTTGGAAGGAACTGATGTATTTATGCCACTGAGCCTTTCAATCTGTGGACATGGTATTTTGCCCCCTTTATTTAGACCTTGTCTGAAGGCTCTCAGTAATATTCTGTTACTTTCCTGGTGGGGGAGGGTCTTCCAGGTCCTTTCTCACTAGATTTACTTCCTAAATATTTGACATTATTTGTGTGCTGGTAAACACCCATGGTGCTGCTGGTATATGAAAATACAATGGATTTTTCTGTGTCATAACTTTGTTAAATTCTCCTATGAACCGAAGTAACGAAGCTGTGGATCTGTCCGGATATTTGGGGGGACCGACGCGAGGGGCGGCCGGGCCTCGGCTCCCTTCCCAGAGCCCGGTGGCTGCCGTCTCCCTCCCGGAGCTGCGGGCAGAGGCCCTGGCACTGTCTGGGCACCTCTGCTACCTGCGCAAAGAGGTGCAGTGCGTCAACCCCCGGGAGGACAGCCAGCGACTTAGCAGGGCTCCCGGGGACTGATTCGCGGGCAGAGTCGGGGGATCACCCTTTACTGGAGTTCATTTGCACGGTGCATTACTAATGCCGTCAGGCGCCTGGAGTTCACCAGCAGGATGAATACTGCTAATCATATCAAGCTGATTGATAAAACAGCAACATCCAAGGTTACTCTCTCTTAAAACACAAAAACGAAACCGCCAACAAGGAGCCGCCTTCTCTTTGCACTAACGCCCGCAGCTCGGAGCTGGCGAGGCGGGGAGACCGTACCTCGGTGCCGCCGGAGGTGAAGACGATGTCCTGCACGCTCGCGCCGATCATCTTGGCGACGCTCTCCCGGGCTGCGTTGATGACGTCCTTGGCCTTCCTGCCTTGAGGGACCAGAATGGAGGTTCGTTAACGATGCTGCACCCAGTGAATCGACGCGTTTGAGGAATGACCAGGACGCAGGGGCGAGCGACCCGCGTGCGTGGACATGGTAACGCGCTACCACTCGGGGCTGGCCCGGCGCAGGGCAGCGGGGGCGGTGGAGGGGGCCTTAGCTCCTCGGGGGCGGCCCCTGAGGCGGGCACAGGTCCGCGGGTGCCCGGGAGCCCTAGAGACCCGGCCGAGCAGGCGGGGGCGGAGGCTGCGGCCTCCCGCTCAGCACGACGGGCGCGGGGCGCGGGGCCCAGGCGGGGCCGGGGTGGGGGGGGGGGTGGCGCGGTGCGGGACGGAAGGGCGGGGCGACGGGCGTGCGGTCACACCGCAGAACAACAGAAGCAAAGCCGGGGCTCTCGGTGCGTCCTCCACGCAGGGCCCGGCGCCTTGCCTCACGCTGCCGGCCCCGGGTCGCCGCGGGGTCGCCGCCTCAGGGGCACCGCCGCTCCCCAGGAGGGGCCTGCGGCCAGGCGGCCGCCCAGTCTGGGGCTGGGGAGGGGGGCGCCCAGACGGCCGGACGGGCGCTCGGATAGCGCCGGTGACCGTGACCGCTCTCGGCCTGCAGTCCCAGTCGGCGCCTGCGGTGCCGGCTTTTTCAACTAGTCTGTCTTGTTTTTGCAAAAAACAAAACCCAAAACCCCAACAACGTGAGCAGCTGCCGTTATATATGATATGTATCGTTATAATTGTGTGTGGAATAAAACACACGTAAGACGTCGGCGTGGTAACAGGAAGGCGCGGAGCGGCTCGCACACCCGACAGCCGCCTGCGGCCTGCGGGAGCCCCGTCTCCCCGGCGGGAGCCCCGTCTCCTCGGTGGGAGGCCCGACGGCTCAGGCCGGGGCGCAGGGGGCGGGGCCGGGCTCGCCCGCGGGGGGCCCCGTGCACAGCCGCGCAGGTGCTCACAGGTGCTCGCGGAGAGCGGGCGCTGTGTCGCCGAGCGGGCCTGGGTCCGGGGGCGCGTGGGCGCCCAGGCGGGGAGACGCACGGCCGGCTCCGGAGCGGGCGGGGCGGGGCGGGGGCGATGCAGGGAACAGCCCGGAGCCGGGGCGGAAGGCGCCAGTCCGGTGGGGGAGCAGCGCTGAGGGGGAGCGAGCTGGACCACGTCCTGACCGCGGTCCTTCCATACCTGTCCCCAGAGGAATTGTGATTAAGTCATAACAATGAAAGTGAAAGTAGTTGAATCATTCTCTCATAAAGGTGACGTTCTAGCCCCCCCGCTTTTTGATTTTCTGAGTATCAACAAAAAGTGAGCTGCAATGCATTTGTTAGTAATGGCTCTTCGTTTGTGGAAACAAGACCTCGCAAGGTACAAAAATATTATTTCTCCCTGAGGGTTATTTGTAAACTTCTTCATATTAATTGCTTTTTATTGCAATTAATTAATCGCATGCGCGATCTTATTGGTCACGTTGCATAATAAGATTGCGTCTGATTGGTTAATTCTTGGTCCAAAAAAATCCTCATATACAAGCATAGGCACCTGATTTTTTTAGGTCACTTTATGACAAAAAGGGTAATTACTATTATTATAATGTTTCCAGTAAATCAATCAAAATTAAACCTATAATTTTTCTCAGATCGGCAAAAGCTGTAATACATTCTTTGTGGTGCGCCGCAGAATCGCAGTAATCAGACGGCGTGCCCAGAGAGGAGAAAGGCGCGGAATCGCTGCTCTGCATAAAACAAGAATGCATGAGAAATACGAGTGTTTCTAATTAAAGAATTTGGAAGTAATTTTGTTTTAAAAAAAGACTAGGATTCTTTTTTATCCCAATGATGTAAAAGATCTAGTTTGCAAATTTTGTAAGGATCAACTGAGACAGCTATGCGAAAGCGTTTTAATGGGTGCAGTTATTACAAATAACTCCTATAAGACCTCTTATTCGCCTGAGGGAGGGAGACAGGAGCGCATGTTAAAGATTAGGTTGTGGTATCAACAAGGCTCCCCATACCAAGCTGGGCTTCCCGGAAAACAGCTGCCACGAAGGAGAGCGAAAGCCTCGCCGTTCACACAGGCCATCCAGACCCAAGCACCGCCCCCCACCGCCCAGCGCCCCGCGGTGCCCTCTTCCCCGCGCCCCCGCCCGCCGCCCCCTGCACTTACCTGCCGGGTGGGGGCTGCTGGGGTTCCCCCAGGCTTCCCGCATGGCCTCGGTCACGGCCTGCACCACCGCGGGCTCCAGCGGCGTGGTGGCGTTGTAGTCCATGTAGACGCTCCTGAGGGGCCGAGAAGCAGAGGGGTGAGGACGCTGCGCGCCAGGCGCGCCGCTCCGCGGACCCGTCGCCACGGCCCGGCCCGCCGCCCAGGGAGCGCCTGCCGCGGGCTCTGCCTCCCGGTTCGCCCGGTGGCCTCGCCGGTGCCCTGCGCAGGCGGCGGGGCGGCGGGGGCCCGGCCCCCGCTCCTCCGCGCTCCCAGCCTCTGCGCTCCCGGGCCAGGCCTGCCGCTCCTGCCCTTGGGAACTTCTGGGATTCCTCGCCGAGGGTGACCACGCCCCCCTCTTTATTTTATTTTTATTTGGCCTGTGCTCTACCTCGGCCTTCCGGCGAGGGTCCGCGCAGCCACCCACCCCGTCCTCCCCCGCCCCCCACACCAGCGACCCGGGCCTGCCCCTCGGTGACGGTCTGCATCCACCGCAGGCGACAAGCGCTGGCCCCAAGGGCTCTCCGGTCCCCTCCCGTCGCTGCCCCGTCGCCAGCACGGAGCCGCGCGCAGCAGGGCTTGGTTTATGAGACGACAAAGTTAATGTCCCAGAAAATGCCCCTCCTGTGCACGACCCCGTGGGCGACCTTTCCTGTGCCCCTTTGGCCCATATCAAACCCCTTGGAACTTTCGCAGCTGCACGTGGGAGGCGATCCTGCCTGTGACGTAAATTATCCCACCCGACTTCTAAACCAACAACAGTGTTTAAACCTGTCCACACGGAAATTCAAACACAATTACACCGTGGTTCTGAAAACATAGCTGTGTATTGTTGTTTTTTTAGGAGATAATCATTTTGATCTATGTAATCGTAATTCATGCCAAAACTTATTGAATTCGGCTAGAGTCTTGGCCTTCACAGTGTTTTTCACTTTCTCCGTGAGCTCCGCACCACTTCAAAAAGTAACCCATCCTTCAACAGGTTCAAGTAGCACCAACAGTTTAACTCTGTGATACTAGTTAATAAAGTGCAATATATAACCAACATTATATTACCTAGAATTGCCAAGCTGCTCATGAAAGCCTGAGAAGAACCTATAAAACAATTAAGCTATTTTATTTAACGTGTAATAGCTGTGATAAAGCAAAGCTCTGTTTCCACAGCCTTTTGATCTACAATTTTATAGACATACTTTACCACTACAGAAGCCAGATATACATTTAGTTTCTCTTTATATGTAATTAAAACTTTTAAGAGGGTGTAGGCTATAATTCAGATACAATTTAGTCAAAGCCCTATACCAAGACCTTATAAATGATCAGGAAAGAGATATTTAACATTATTGCTTAGTCTTATAAAATGGTGAATTTTAACCAAATTGATGTTCTTATTTATAATCTTTCCTATTCTCTTAAATGATACTGCTGGGCAAGTAATATAGATTCTGATACAATTTTTTATTTCAATTAGTTGCAAATGAATTCTAACTTGTTACTCAATGCATGTGTTCCTCTCCAACTGTGACTTGGCCAAAAAGTTTGTGTTTTTGAGTAACAAAATAAAAGACACATTTTTCATTTTCACCAATACACTCTATTGAACGAGGAGTCACCGTTTGTTCCAGCACCTTCCGCCATCTTCCAGGCACCTTCGCCATCCTCCCAAAACTTCTTATCTTTTTGAGCAAAGAACTGTTCCAGGTGCCTGCTGAAGTCTTCCAGGAAATGGAAGTTTTTCCCATTAACAGAATTTTGTAAAGACTGAAATAAATGGAAACCCGAGGGCGCAACCCCTGGTGACTGCGGCGGGCGAGTCGGGACGTCCCAGCCTGGCGGGGACAGTTTTTGCCTGGTCACCAAAGAAATGCGCGGTCTGGCCTTATCCTGAGGGAAGATTCTGCGTTTCTGTTGGTGAATTCCGGGTGCTTCTCGTCGAGTGCTGCTTTCAGTTGGACTACTTGGAGCAGTGCTTCTGGAATCGTTCGGTTTTCTGGAAGGAGCTCATCATAGAGGACCCCTCCCAATCCCACATGACCTTCTTTGGATGAAGACCAGCCTTTGGCGTGGTTGGTGGCGGTTCACTTCACTTGCCCCACGGTCTCGTCCATTCCACGTTATTGTAAAGTATCTACTTGTCATCGCCCATCACAACTTGTTTTAAAAACAGAACATTTTCATTAAGTTTAAGTAGAGAATTGCAAGCAGAAATATGGTCAAGAAGGTTTTCCCCCCTTAACTTATGTGGAACCCAAACATCAAAATGATTAACATAACCAAACTGGTGCAAATGATTTTCAACACTTGACTTGGATGTTGTGAGTAGGTCGGCTATTTCCTGCGTTGTATAATGTGGATTGTTCTCAATTAATTTTCCAATTTGATTGCTATCAACTTCAAGTTGTCTACCCAACCATGAGCATCGTCCAGCCATAAATCTCTAGCAAGAAGCTTTTGTCACGTTTGATGAGTCCCCGCACCTTCTCCCTACAGAGCACAAATCTTTTTCTGTGTGTTTCCATTGCATTTTTACCTTTCTTGAAATAATAAAGTATACATTGTTGAAACTGTTGCATATTTTCTTTCACCTTCAGTATTAAACTGGCTACACAAAAATTCACCAATGTTAATGTTTTTTTACATATGACGGCTGTCACAACACAATCTAACAAAGTCGTTTTGAGGGAAGTTAAAGACAACTAAGCACTTACTAGAGCCATCGTACGGGGAAAAAAAATATTTGTCCCACCAATACTTCCAACACTACCTGCATTAATCCTCCCACGGAAAATAACAGTCCAGAGTGAAAAAAAACATTGCAGAACTTTGTCTTTCCCTAAAGATTTTCAAGTATTATAGGAACACAAACTCATGAAAAACCTGAACACTTGCCATTCCACCTTGTTTTACTAATTATGATATTTCTCTGCTTAACATAATATACTACGAGCTACTGTAACTATGAGCTATTTTCTAGCCTCTTCTAGCATGGGACACACTACAGTTCTATCAGTGAGACGAAATGAATAATCAGTCTTAGGCCGCTCAAAAGAAAAATGGAGGCACAAAAAGAGAAACTGACTTTGGCCTTTAAGAACCTGCTGTCGACCCTGAAATGCCAGATTTGGAATAACAGCAAAAGACAAGATCACAGCAGCGAGCGGCCACGTCACCCCGCAGTGAGAACTCTGAAATAGGGGGGACTGTATTTCCTCTCAGCGCCGTCTGTGTGCCCTCCTCTCCGTGGCTGCCCCCCGCCCCGTCCCCGGCGGCTGCGGGCAGTTCGACGCTCGCCCAGACACAGGTCCGGCTTCGTGCAGGGCGACCCCAGCCTCTGCGGCGGCCGCAGTTACGTGACTTGGCTTTACACCAGTCACCCCTCATAATTTCACATTGTGATGAAATGCCTCCTCTCCTTCAAACACAGTGTTTAACAACGTACTATTTGCTACTACTTGACGAAGTTCTGGACGTGAATTTTTAGCTCATGCTGAAACGGTGACTTCCCCTCCAGCCCGACGCCAGCCCTGTCCGCAGGGAACACCTCTCTTCCCAGCATCCCTTGCAGCCCGCGTGCTTCCCCTTGCACAGCCCTCGGCTCTTCCTGGCCGCTGGGCGCCGCGTGCCTTGCAGTCAGGGGTTTTTCCTCCGCAACGGCTCCAGGATTTGATCGCTCCGTGGGTGACTGGCGCTCCAGAGGGAGGTGCGACTTCTGAACTCTGCAGACCCCGACTCGTCTTCAAACAGCTTCCGCTTTAACATCAGGTCTTACTTTCATCGCTGCATCCTTCTTTCTTATTTTATTTTTTCATTCCCCGATGACAGTTCAAATTTATGAGGTGGTTGTTTTAGGGACGCAGGTATTTTGAATTCCAATTTGTCAGTGGTTCACCTGGGCTTGGTCTCTTTCTTGCTTCTACTGGTTTCGGGGCTTGAAGACTGCGCTCCTGAAATTTGGGTTTTGAGTCAGAGTTCTTTCTTCTCAGTAGTCTTGGCTTCAGGCTTGACAGGCTCAGGTGGCTTTTCACGAGCATGTCTACCATTCGCACAGCCTACGGTGCTTAAAAATCAGAAAGATCACTTCTATAGCAAGACTGACCCTTTCCTGCACTACGGGAGGCTGGAACCCCTGGCGGGTGTGCAAGCGTCCACGGAGCCGGTCTGGTTCCAGGATGGAAACGCCGGCTGCGGCCGCGGTTGCAGCTCAGTGGAGCCCTTTCTCTTCCCACTGATACAAGTGAGGCCCAAACACAGGATCGCCAAGTCGGTGCGTTCACAGCTCCCCCTCGCAGCCACCGGTCTGACGGCCAAACCGCAGATGTTTCAAGGCAGTGTGCTGTCTATGAGCTGTCCCCAGTCACCTGGGAGGGGCAGGGCTTGGGGGCTTGGGGCAGTGTGGCCAGCCAGGGCCACTCTGACATCAGGACTCTCCCCGTCCTGACTCTGCTCCCATGTCCTGTGAGTACACGTCCCAAAGGTCCTCAAGCTCCTGGTGGCAGCTGAGTGACTGCCGCTTCTCAGCCTGCTGCTCAGCTCCCTCACTTCCGGCTCAGCTCTCAGGGAAAAGCTTGGTAGGCCGCTCTGCTCCACTACCTGCCCCTTCCTTACAGCGCTGTCGGTAGTGGACGGACGAGCTAAACGCTACTAGTTTCAGGAGCAAAAGACAAAAAGGCATCCTGCACCCCCCTCCACTCGGCCTCCCTGGGGACATCCCCCCAGCGCCCTGGGCTCTGTCCCAGCCAGGTGGAGTGGCTCGTGCAGGGGCTGCTCGACCCTGGACCCAGGTTTTGCAGGCCCACACGACGTCCTCCTGTTCAGGCGCAGAGGACTGCAGGGGAAAAAGAAGTCTTGAACACCTTCCTGAAGAGGGGCGGGGGAGGCGGGGGGAAGACTCACAAACAAGTACCCACGCCCCTGGCCCGCCCCCGCCCCCGCCGGGGCAGCGGCGGGGACCGGAAGTGCCGCCCAGGCGGCGTCCTGCCGTCCCAGTGGCTCGGGCCCGTGGCCCGGAGACATCCTTCCTGACCCCGCTTTCCCAGCACCCGGGCTCGGCGAGGCCTTCGGGTTCTGCCTCCGTGCGTTCGCTGCTCCCGCCGCCGCTCCGCCCGCCTTGATCATTATAAATAGACCCAATGGTTTCGCTGTGTCCCCGACGCCGCGGCGCCCGGAGGGCTTCCCGGAGGAGGGGGCCGGCGGCTTCCCTCGCCTTCCCCTCCCAGTGCGCACCTCTCTGGCGGACTCTTCTCTTCCTGGCCGCTGGGCGGGCTCGCCGCGCATCCCTGGGCGTGCCTGCTCGGTGCCGCGGTGGCCTCCATCTCGGTCGCGCCGCGGCCGGGCTCCACTCTCCGGCCTCAGGCGCTGTCACACCGGTCCTGCCCGCTACGCCCTCGCTGAGTGGGAGGGGGGGGGCCACGAGTCCCGGGGCGCGTTCGGATTGGCTGAGTTGAGCACTCCGGGCCAGTCCCCGAGCTTCAGCGGGCCAGCCTCCCGGGCTGTGACAGGGTGGAGTGTTGATTGGCTGTGCTAGGTCAGGTGACGATTGGGGGACGGGGCGGGGCGTGGTCCCCGTCGCGTAGAGCTGGCGGGAACCCAGTGTGGCGCAGTCTGTCCCGCTCTTCACTCTCCAGCGCCCTGCGCGGGTCCGCCGGCGTCAGCGAGGAGGCGGCAGCCGGGCCGGGGGCGATGTTGACGGGATGGGGGCGGACGCGGCACGCGGGGTTCGCCTGCGTCGGCTTCGCTGGACCGGGTGCCCGGAGCAGGACCGCGGGCGGAGGCCGGTGGGCCACGCTCCTGCGTCCTAGTGTCCGGGTCTCATGAAACCCGCCCCCGCGGCCCCGGCTGGAGGGCCCTCCGCACGGGTGACTCGAGCGGGATTAGGACGCATTCTCTGCAGCCGCACCCGAGGGGTCTGGTCGAGGCGAGAGGGGAGGGGCCCTGCACGGCGGGCGTGGGCCGCAGAAAGTGCGGATTCAGGAGGTTCGGGAGTTAACGAGGTCACGGGGCGAGCGCGTGTGGCGCGGAAGGAAGAGTGAGGGCGTCAGGGCGACGGCGTGCGGGACGCGGCGCCCTCACCTGGGCGGGAGGCAGCCCGGGGCAGCGGGCAGGCGCGGGCTGCGTTTTGGATGCGTTGTGGGTGAGACAGTCAGCGGGACGTGCCCAACTTTCGTGGACCCGGCCAACCTCGGCGAAAGCCGGGAAGGCGGCGAGAGAGGGCCAAAGCCCAGGCTCCTGCGCGCTGCTGAGGCCACGGACCGGCCGCCGCGGGCGTAACTGCCTCTAAGTCTAACTGAGCCCCCAGCTCGTGGCAGGCGCTGTCCTGAGCACTTTTCATGGGTTGGGACTAGTCCCGATGACGCGCGGACCAAGGAGGCGCTGTTTTCCCCATTTTCTATGTGAGGAAATGGAGTTACAGAAAAGCAACTTGCCCAAGTGCACGTGGGCGGTGATGGGGCCCGAGTCTGAATTTGGGACTGCTTTGTCAAGAAGTTGCACTTTAACTGGCTTTTCAGGGACTTGCCCAGCCTACTCTCTGCTGGGGCCCAGAAGTTGTCTTTTCCAGCCTCGCAAGCCTCCGTACGTCTAGATTCTCGATTCCCTTTCATGCTTGTGTGCACACTGAGCTCATTTCTTGCCAAATGCATCCAATCGTGAGGAACATGCCAACATTTAAGGGAGTGGATGCACAGGAGCCCAGGGACAGTCGGAAGAGAAGGGAAGGAATTAATGTCAAAGTATGGAGCACAGTGTAAAATGCAACAGAAAAGGCAGGAGGCACTGATGAGATTAACAAGAAGTTTCCGGAGAGCGGGGGCGGGGGGGGGCGGGGGGGTGCAAGTTGCAGAAGGTCTGGGGTGTGAAGGCGTGGGGGACGCGGTCACCTCTTCCGAGGGCTGAGAGGAAGGAGGGCTGAACCGGGGAGCAGAGGGTGCTCAGGGCAGGGAAGCTGCTCGGTGGGATGCCACAGTGGTGGACACCAGTGTGGCCCCAGAGAGACCCCAGGGTAAACTGTGGACTTCGGGTGATAACGACGTGTCCGTGGAGGTTCATCAGTTGCAACCAATGCTGCGTTCGCGGGACGTCGATAGTGGAGGAGAGTGTACCTGTGAGGGACAGGGCGTGCTTTCTGCTGTTTTGCTATGAGCCTAAAACCACTCTTAAAAAGTCTATTTAAAAATTCGGCAGGTGGTCTGAATAGAACAGGCATGGCCGGAGAATGAAATAGCTGAACGCTGGAGCGCGGGAATTCTCAGAGCTCAAAAATACAGGGATGGAAATGCAGAAGAAGACATCCAACGCACACAGCGATTCTCACTGGGAGTGGCTTCCCCTCCAGGAGACACCTGGCCATGTAGGGGACAGTTCTGGTTGTCGTCCGGGGGTGGGGGGTGGGAGGTGCCTCTGGAGTCTGCTGAGTGGAGGCTGTGAGTGTGCTCAGTGCCCAACGGTGCACAGGACAGCCTCCCACAACGAATTCTTTGGCTAAAGTCTGTAGTGGTGGCGTGGCCCCGCATTCCCATTTGTTCAAAACGTATTTTAGTGCCCGTCTGCTGGTGGGCCTGTCAGCTCTCGTGGGGGCGAGAAAGGCCTTCATTCTGCCCTCCCCTTTGACTGGATGTGGGACCCCTGCTGTGGATCCGTCACGGTCACCATTCTGCCCTGTGGCCACTTCATTTAAGCGTGTCCATCCTGAAAGTCAGCTGCTGTTTCTCCCTTTCCTGCAACGTTTTTTCCACTGAGATTTACTCAGACAAAGCAAACTCTGGATTCAGCGTCTGTTGGCCGGCCTCTGGGAGGGTGCGGTCCCAGCGCACGTGCGCCTGCCGCGCGGTGCTCTCGCGGTGCTGCTCTGCGTTCGGTGGCCCTGCAGTGACCACCAGGCCGGTTACTGCAGGGAGGCGGGGACAGCGCTCGGCGCCCCTGGCTCCTGGGAGAGGTGGGGGTGCCTTCGAGGTGCCCGTCTACCTGTGAGAGCGGCCGCTCCATGGGATCCGAATCCTGAAAGGAGCATCAGGAGGGAAGTGGGGCGCCTGTGGAGTGTGGACCCTGCCGCACGCGGCTTGAAAGTGCTGCTTGGAGGCCGGGGCCTCGGGGCGGGGGCCGGCAGGGCAGTCCGGCCCGGCCGCAGTCCGGCCTGCTGGCACGGTGCTGCCTATTCTGGGGGCAGGGAGGGCTGCCTTGGAAACCCCTGGCGGCCAGGACGGGGGGGACCGAGGCAGCCACGCGAGGCCAGGTCCTCCTCTGCCGGTGCTCTTCCTGCAGCCACTGGTCTCTGTCCCCACCACTGTTACTGGGCTGGCGAGGCACACGGTGACAGCTGCGGGGCCCATGTCGCTGGGCCCTACCTGTCTCCTGCTCCATCAGGTTCCCCAGAGGAACTGGTTTCTCATCTCAGACTCTGACCTGAGGCCGAAACCTCTTGCGGACAGTGGCAAGGCTCTCCGAGCTGGCACTGCTGCCGGCTCAGGCCCGCGCCTCATCCTGGGCGGGGCGGGGGGCGGGGTGGGGGACAGGTACACAGGCCTGTGGAGGCAGGCGTCAATTTTCGGAGAGGCAGGTTTCATAAGATCAATGACTGGCTTAAGAGACAAAATACTCTTCGGCCTTGAGCCCCATCAGTGCTCGGGGCGCACTGCAGTTGTGAGGAAGGTCAGTGAGATCTGACCTGAGGTCAGGTGGTTCGGATACCACCCTGGGGCCGGGGGTCCTGCCGAGCCAGACAGGGGTCCCCCACAGCAGGGAACACGCCTGCTGTGACCGGTGGGCAGAGGCTCAGCCTCACTTGGTGGCCGGCCCTCCTGGTTCCAGGGCCCCCGACGAGGTCTTGCGCGGTCGAGCCTGGGCCTGTCTGGTCCCCTCCTGCTGCACTGGGAGCTCCAGGGCCAGGCTTTGTTCTCTCCCAACCGCCCTGACATCAGCTTAAGAAAAACCCCCAGTGAACTTGGCAATGGAAGTGAAAGAGCCCTAAGCTGGATTTTTGAAGAAAGGTTATAATTCAGTTCTTTCTACAGCTCAACGTGAGTAGACACTCCTAACATGCAAAGTCCCCCAAATGCTTCCATCGCTAGGCTTCTCGGAGAACTTTTTGCAAACGAGTAAGTCAATTTTGACAACCCACGGAAGCCCAAGCAAGAGTGGCAACGCCGGGGGCGGCACGGACCCTCAGCATCGGCCCCTCCGAGCCGCTGAGTGCGAGGCTGGGCTCCGGAGGGAGAAAGGCCTGACGGGCTTCCTTGGTCTCCAAGCTGTGGCAAAGGACAAGTAAAACATTGCTATGAGTACATATCAGCGTTCTACCAGACACACTATTTTATGAGTAAGGAACTTGGAGCAAACCCGGCTTTCCAAGGTGAAACATGTTTACGGGGACGAGGGAGAAAGCAGCCCTGAATGGACCCCCCCTGGGGGTCGGGTGCTGCCCCTTGAGACCGGCACCGCACCTCGGCCACCAGCACTGCCGGGCGTTTGCCCTCTGCCCCCGGGGATTGTTTTGCTGAGCTCCAGGGCCCAGCAGGAGGGCTGTCCCACCAGCTCTGCGGTGGGTGTGCCGCAGGCAGCCGGGTTGCCGGGGAGGACCAGGCGTAACAAGGGGCGGAGGGGAACACACACGTTGACACTGATGACTTGAAGGCTCGCGTCCTGTCAGGCTGTGCACCGGCTTCAGCCGGGACCAGCTCTCCCCTGTTGCCACGTGAACTTCGGGGCCGCAGGGACTCGCCGAGCAGGCGCGCCAGCTGGCTCGGCCGGTGCCTGTGAGGCCCGTGCACGCACGCAGCCCTCACTGCCATCGCCCCACACAGGGCGAGGGTGGGGGCGCAGGCCCCCTGCGGTGCAGGCTGCCCCGGCCTGGGGGGAGGGAAACGGCGGAGGACCGAGGAGCAGGGCCGCGGGGAGAAGGGCCGCGGCCTGGAGGCCGGCGCTCGGCAAAGCACCGCCCGCCCGGGCCGTCAGCACGGCTCAGGGAGGCCGCCCCAGGACGCGCCTTCTCGGGGTGCCTGAGACACGCAGCTAAGGACCAGTCGTGGGGCCCCAGCTAATGTCAGAGCTGTCCTGGGCCGGCACCCCCCCGGAGGCGGGCCCCAGGCCAGGGGGCAGAGGTTGGGCGTGTGGGCGGTGCCGCTGCTGGGCAAGCGCCTGGCTGGGAGGTCCAGGGACAGCAGAGGAAGCCCCGCCGCCTCTGCCTGGCCTGGGGGCCGGGGCCTGCGCTGCTCAGAGGTCACCGTGCCCTTTACCCAGCCCCACCCTCCCTGGCCTGGGCACCAGGGGCAGCCCATGAGCCGGGGCCGCCCCCACGCGTGACGGCGCAGCTGGTCACCAACAGGAAGCGCGGCCTCCATCCCCCGCTGACCTCCAGGACAACGAGGTCACAGTCAGGCTGTAGCACAACTAGGAAGCGCACACCGGCCGGGCAGATGGGGCCCGGGCTGGGAGGTCGGTCGGTCGAGAGTGTCAGGCAGGCAGCAGGTGAAACCACAGGGACGTTTATTTGCTCCTCGGCTCCGGGGTCCCCTCTGCGTGGGCCCTCCGACCGCTGCTCTGACCCTGCCCTCTGCCCCAGGCGGCCGGCCCACAGGCTGGACCCGCGGCAGACGCAGGAGGCCACAGGCCCGTCCCCATGGCGTCAGGCACCGCCCGGCTGCTTCCAAGGTGCACCCTGTCCCGCGGGGCCGCGGGCCTGGGTCTCGGGCAAGCGGCTGCACCTGGCCCCCGGCCAGCCGGCCCCGCACGGCCCCTCTGAGCCCCATGTGACAGAGGGCTGGCTCCCTGCCTCTCATTTCCACACCACCCAGGCCCAGCTTCCAGTCTCCAACCCTGTGCCCCACCTAGGCCTGAGAGCAAGAGCTGGTGTTTAAAGGCCAAATTCTTGCTGCATTTGGACAGAATGCATAATGTGTCTTTCATTTTCTTTGTATTTTTCTCCAATAGTTGCTTGACCCAACATCTGTCTGCTTTACACAATGAAAATACGAACTAAAGGAGAATAGAAAAAAATAATTAAAGCATTAAATTGTACAAATTACAAATCTGTTTCAAAATATACTCACATTAAATAAAGCGCGCCTTTCAGTGAGATCTACAGTGAACGACTGCACTCTGGGGAGCCGGTGGGCGGGGCCTGGGGCTGCGCGACCAATCACAGCCGGCACAGGCTGACCGCCCACCTGCCAGCCCCCGGTCAGGGTGAGGGGCAGGCGGTGTGGGGACAGGGCAGGATCAAGCCCTCCTCGGTTCCCAGCTCACTGTCGCGCCCCGAGCCCCGCCCCGGCCCCGCACAGCGCAGGTTCACGAGAGTAAACAGGCGAAGGGAAGCAGACGGCCCTGAGCCCAGACACGCCCCTCGCTGTATTTGGTGGTGCTCTCCGCCTACCGGGGCTAGGCGGCGCGAAGAGGCTCCTCCGGAGGCAGGATGCGGCGCAGGACCCGCAGAGCAGGCGGGGCAGAGGGCGCGCTGGGGGCCCCCGGGAGCTGGGGTGACCCTCGCGCCCGGCCCGCAGTCCCCCTCCTATCATCTGGCGTACCGCTTGATGTAGTCCTCCACTTTACTCCGGAAGTCCTCCTGTGGCGGGCAGGGACGGGGGAGAAGAGGAGCGAGTGAGGGCGAGTGACACTTCAGGGACAAGTCTGAGCCACCCGAGCCAAGGACCCACTGAGAGTTCGCCACCAGCCTCCTGCAGCAGAGGTGGCAGAACAACGAGAGACCCATGGAGCGGGGGCCCCTCTGGGCGCCCAGTGTGCACGCGACACCGGGACGGGGGAGCTTGAAGAGGGCGTTCTGAACAGCAGCTCAGAGCAGAAGGCACCCCAAGACCCTTTTGCAGATGGGTGCGTGCGGCCCACAGATGGGGTCACGGTCAGGATGCCCGCACTTGCGGACAGGGCTGCGCTCAGGGACGCCCCGGCCCCCGGCAGGGCTGGGCTGTGCAGAAGCCCGGACCAGCCTCCCCCGACCCCCAGAAGCTCCCACACGGTCACCTGCACAGCGCTCGGGAGCAGCGATAGGGCCGGCTCCCCAGGAGGCGCAGCTGAAGCTCGCTGGGTGCAAAGCCGGGGCCCCTAGGCACCCTTGCACTCCCGCACCCCATCCCGCCCCAGGACTAGCAGCACCTCTGCTTGGTCTTCTCCCCTTTTCTCCCGCCCACTCACCCAGCACAGAGCCCGCGTGCAGGCCTCCGAAGGCCCTGCGCACAGGCCCCGCACACTCCCAGCACCGCCTCTGCCCCGCGGGAAGAAGGGGACCCGCAGCCAGGCCGCCTCGCTCCAACCCTGGGCTCTGCCCCTCCTGGCACGACTCTTGGCAGCAAATCAGGGCTAACCAGAGACCCGCACCCTGGGGTCAGCAGGAGGACAAACACACTCTGGGGAAGGCCACGCAGGCTCGCTGCCACAGTCCCCGGTGAGGAACACGTGGCCTCTGTGCTCCTCCCCAAGCACCACCCCGCCCCCGCCCCCGGGCTGCGGCGCTGGCTGCCCTCTGTCCGGTTCATGTCGGGTCTCCAGTCACAGCTCCAAGTGCCCCATGGGAAAGGGCTCTCCTCCTCCTGCCAGGACGTTCGCTCCCGGGGACAGCGGCTGCCTGTCCACCGACTGTCCTGTGCCCGAGCATCTTCCCTGGCATGTAGGAGCCGCCAGTCAAACCAGGAGAAACAGCGGCGGCAGGACCCAGTGAGCAGCGAGTTCGTGACTGCGGTCACGGCTTGGCGTGAGGGTGTGGGCACACCTAAGAATTTGCGTGGAGGCATCCCTGTTTGGCTGACGTTAGGACCGCCTTACTGGGGACAAAAGTTCATTAATTGCAAGTCTGCCCCTCATTACAGAGAATAGGAAGCAACTTTCCAACAAAAGCAAAGCACAGTGGGGGGGGGTCCCCCTGAGCTCTCCTGCGGCTCCATAGGGGGCACCCCAGTGCTGCCACCCCTTCGCTGACATGGTGTGGGCCACAGGGGCCGGAACCATCACACGCTGAGTGGGGTCCTTGTCAGTGGCAAGGACAAGTGGAGCTACAACGTGAACGGAACCCCCTGCAGAGGCCTGGGCCCCGGGAGCGGCCTGCAAGGGCTTGTCAGCAGCGGGCGAACCGAGGCTGTGCCAGGCGACCCCCCAGCCAGGGTGGCCAGGGGCAGGGCAGGGGCGGAGGGCGCTGCGGGGCGAGAGCTGTGCCGCACCGCGAGACCGGCCCGGAGACTGCTGCCCCCGCTCCCTCCGCCCGACCAGAGGGCCCTCCCGACCCGCTGCACAGCCCCGCCTCCCCACTGCGCCTGCCGCAGGGTCTCGTGAGCTGTGTCGGACAGAGGCCAGGGTGTTCCGAGCGGGCAGCGTGGCCCTGGTGTCACCAGGCGGGCTGCCAGAGCCCGGCCGTGCCTGCGCACTGGGCGAGGACGTGGGCTGGGACATGGACGGCACCGCCGTCTGCAGCTGCGAAACGCGAGAGCCCACAGGCAGGAGGCCGGCCAAGCAGGCGCGCAGAGCTGTGGGCAGGCGGGCGCCGCGCCACACGCCGGGTGGGGCCAGGCAGAGAAAAGGAAGCGGCGCCTGGGCGCAGCAAGCACTGCCGGTCTGATCCTGCCGATGGCGCCCTCGGAGGGGCTGGGGGCTGGGGGCCGAGGGCCGGAGCGCGCCACACCCTTCCCCAGCCCCGCCCGCGCCCCTCTGCACGCCGATGCTGATGCTGTCAATTCGGTAAAGGAGCCACGCCCTCAGTGCCACCAGGAGCCCCACTTCACTGAGACCACGCCCATCCACCAGGACGCCCCAGTCAGACGCTGCTTTCAGCGCCAGCCCTGGCGCTGCCGTTCTTGAGTTCGTGCGCATCTAACCCAGACACGGGAGTTGTCTCTCTACCAAAGGCACCAGCTGAGGGGCCTCATGTGACGGGCTTACCTTGTCCCTCAAGTGATGTTCTGCGGCCTCGATGTTCAGCGGGTCGTCAAAATTCAGAAGATCCTTAAAAAGAGAAACTCAACGTAAATAAGGGAAAGAATCTGTTTTTCTGCTGTGATAAGTCTTCATTTTATGAAGCAGGCAACCGAAACCCAAATAGCAAATGCTGAGCGAAGCCCCACGGTGAAGGGAGACTCTTCTGATGGCGGGCACTGCGCCTGGACCCTTCCGGAATGGGGACCAACAGTCGCCAGAAGAAGCGGGGGTCACGCCCACGTGGGACTGTCTACGGTTTGGTGAAAATGGAGGGCCCGCAACCACATCCATTTCTAACGCCCCCAGTGACTGGAGAGTGAGGAACCGCTCATGGCGAACTCTCCAGATTCAAGCCCCATTGCTCTCTTTTCTTCTTGGAAAGTAACCTCCCCCCTTCACTTTCTGATTAATGGCTCTGCCTCTGTAAGCGGCGGCTTCTCTTTGGGCCCCGTCTTTAGCTTGTGCTCGTGCCATGCACACAGGCGGGAGGGCACCGGGGCCCCACTGACTGCGGGGGGTGGGGGTGCGGGTGAGGCGGGAGGGGCTTCGAGCAGGCTCTGCGGTGGCAGTGGATGGCAGTGTAACACGCTCCAGCCTGTTACAGAGATGCCTGATGGCCGGGCAGCCTGGGTCAGGCGCAGGCCCTGCCAAAGGGACACCTCCTCCACTTCAATGGCAAAGCCAAAAACAGAGTCACAACGAAACGACCAAGACCCCTAGGCCATCGCCCAGGGGGCCCGGCACCCTCGGCAGGACCTCCCCGGGGCGGGCGGGGCCTGGAACCCACGAGCTGCACCGCTGCTTGGGCTCCGGGCGTGGCCTGTGGACAGCGGGTCACAATGCGAAGGGAGGCGGGGACTCCGAGTCTACTTTTCAGGCTCTGCTGCTTTTTACTTTGTGGACAAGGACAAGAAGCCTGGGGCCTCCGAGTACAGCCGCCCCGCCCTGCCCGAGGGCTGCGGGCCCGCGAGCTGTCCTGTGTGCTGGGCGCCTGTGAGCACTGGCAGGACACCGGGTGGGGGGGGCCAGAGGAGCCACCGCCACCGCGTGCAGGCTGCTGCCCCCGTGACTTCCCCACGTGGCCGCAAAGCCCCAGCGCCCCATTCCCCTGTCCTCCGCCTGGGACCGCGCGGAGGAGAGGGGCCCAGCGCAGAGGGGGCGCTGCCTTTAACCGCGTGTCAGTTACCCGGATGGGGCGGCGCGGGGTGGGGGGGGGTCTTGGAATTTTGGTCAAAATACTTACAGTAAACAGCGAGTTCAGCCCCCACACAACATCCTGGAATGAGAAGAAAGAAAACAAGTGGCAGGCGCCTGCGCACTCAGTCTCACACCCTCCGCAAGAAGCGTGTGCCGGGCCCCCTTGAAATTCAGTGTCAGCAGCCTGGACCGAAGCTGTCTCCAGAGGGCGGGGCACGCCCAGGACATGGTGACACAAGGACAAGCCAGGCTACCCATGGCAGCAGAGACCACGGCTCACGAGGAGCCACGGTCACGACGGCACAAAGTTCCCAGCGCCCCGACGCTGGCACTGGGCCCCAGCTCCTTCCTGCGTTCTTCCCCAAGCACCTACTCAGTGACACCCAGCACCTGGCAGGGCCTCCCGGCCGCAGGACGGGTCCCCACCGCAGTGTGCAGTTGCCCTGGGCCCAGCGCCTGTGGGGCCTCCCTCAGCCACGCACATGTCTATGGGCCTCGGCGACACTGTGACGTGCCTCCTGTCCTCTCTTGAGAGCGGAGGAAGTGGAGTGAAGAGAGTCTGAGAGACGAGCCCCGCTGAGTGCGGGGGACGGGTGTGGTCAGGCTGCGGGGAAGCCAGCCTGCGCGCTGGGTCAGCCGGTCCTCAGAGCCTCCCCCACACGCTGGCTGGACCCCCGCACCCCTTTCCGGGGACCGGCCAGGATGGACGGCCTCAGAAGAGGAGGGCAGCCGCCAGAGGAGCCAGGCCCCCGTGCTGAGCGGGGCCAAGGAGGTGCAGGCTGGGAGCGCCGCTGCCCGAGCCCCAAGTCCCACCAGGGCACACGCTCTGCTGGGCAGCACCAGCCTAACACGAGGAAGGTGCCGCCGGTAGCCATCCGGAACCGGCTCCGGAGGTTCCTGGCGGAAACGACGGCCACGGTCGGGTGGCGGCTCACTGCCAGGCGCGCACCGGCCAAAAGAGCGCCTGCTTCTCACAGTGACCAGGCCGCACAGAGAAGCCCCACGGGCGGCTCCTGGGGGCGCCGCGATGCGCGGCCCTGAAAGCAGCTCCAGCCCCGCTGCGGAAGCCGGAGCGGCCGACGTTCAGTGCCCGCGGCTCCCCCAAACTCCCCTCTCCTGGGAGAGGGCCCCCCGCCAACAAGGCATGGCTGGCTGCGTGCAGCCCACCTCAGGAGGGACACACCTTGGAAGGCACACCTGGCCTCCTCTCCCGCCCTTCCCCCGACTCCCGGAGTCTCCTCGCCTCCGAGGGTGAGACAGCTATGAGAGACCGGGGTGGGGTCCAGGAAGAACAGAAACGGCCAATCACACACAACCAGGCGGGACAGGACAGAGACAGAGTGGGGACGGGACCCGACTCGCCCCCCACCGGAGGCGCTGGGCCGAGCAGCCCCAGGTGGGCAGTGGGGTGGGGAGGGGCAGGGTACGCCTGGCCACCTGTGTGTGCAGGACCGAGGACACCGCCGCTCTCCCAGGTGGTTGGTTCCTGAGCGAGGGGGCTCCGGGGCAGCGCTGTGGTCACAGACACGCACCCTACCTTTAACGTCCTCGTGGGAGCCCAGCCAGTGCCGTCGATCGAATGTTCTCGCAGTAAACTGGGACAGACAGAAAGCAGAGAGGTCAGCAGGGAGCCGCAGGGGCGTCATGTCCGGGAGGCCCTGTGGCCTCGTGGCCCCCTGTCCTGCGTGGGAGGCCTTCTCACCCTCCGAGGTCCAGCTGTGCCTACGCCTGACCCCCCAGGACAGGGCGGCTCTGGGCAGGCCACAGCAGCTGGAAACGCAGAACAAGAGTCCACCTGACGCGCAGGCAGCGGCAGCGACCACGGCAACGGGAACGAAGGTCACTCGGAGCTTCGTGCTCTGTGTCCCCCCACTCTAAACTCACAGGGCGCCTCGCTGCACCCGCCCGAAAGGAAAGGGGGCCACGCCACCCTAGCGGCAGTGACAGGCCCCACACAGCCCCGGGAGGGGGACTGGCGTTGCTAGAGCAGAACTGAAAGGAACTTCCCGGATTCCACGAGTGACATTTCCCCTCTTAGCTGCGATCAGCCACAGGGAGGGAACGCGGCTCCATTGAAACAGGCCAGGGAAAGGGCGAGGGCCCCGAGCGCGAGCAGCCGGGGCAGGTGGCAGCTGCACGGACCCTGCACGGCCGCGGCCAGGCCCCGGGCGCAGCCCAGAGCCGCAGGTGGGCTCCCACCCCTCCCCGCCGGGCCAGGACTCATGCACAGCACTCACACCTGCGGAGAGCGGGGAGGAGGCGGCGCTCACCTCAGACAGATCTCTCCCGTCTCTGTGATGTTGGGGTGCCAGATCCTGGTCAAGCATTTCACTTTGGGAGGCTGCAAGGCAGAGGGAGAGGGGTCCATCGGCAGCCTCCAGCCTCCTCATGGGCCCCACCCTGTCTCCCGTTATCCTGCTTGCCCGGCCTTCGGCCTCGGACCCTGGCCCATGTCACGCATGCACCCTGGGAGGGATCGGGTTGTCACCCTGCACCCACAGGTACGAGTCTCACTGGTAAAGCCCGCAGCCCTGCTTACAGAGCCCTGGACAAGCCCCGGGCCTAGAGGCTGGTGCTGGCTGCGGGGAGGGGCCGCACGCGCCTGCCCAGGGGAGTGTTCTGCACCCCACCGCCCACGCCAGCCAGGAGGCCACAGCCTCCCCTGCGCTGGGCCGCCGGCCCGGCTGGAAAACACTCCCCGCGCTGGGGACAGCTCGCTCCGTGTGCCGCCCTCCCAGATGCAAGCCCGGGCCCACCCACACCGGGGGGGGGGCGGGGAGGTTGGCCGGAGAGCTGGGGAGGGGGCGCGGTGGCGCCGCTTGGGTAACGCTGTTTAGGGTTATTATGGAAGCAATCGCACTCATTTAAGAAAAAGTCAACAAAAAGAAAGATGTATTTACATATAGAAAATAACTCCGCCCAGAAGCGGTCTCTGTTGCCCCAGTGCGCTCTGTTGCGCCTCCTTTAGCCACACACAGATGTGCGTGTGTGCTTTACGGAAGTGGGAACACACATTTTTTCCACACTTGTTTTTGTCAACATTTCAGACGGCTCTGGGCTTTCCTGCATTTCCTGGTACCAGCAGCAGGGTTTAACAGGCCAGCTCCCTATTTCTGGGCACTAGTGCGCGTCCCGTGTCCACTGCAGACCGCGCGGGATCAACGCCTGTCTCCACTCACACTTGAGGGTGCATTTCCGGGATGAGGCCAGAAGGCGGAGTCGCTGGCCAGAGCCTCGGCGGCGGACATAGCGCCAAGGGCCTCCCCACCCCCACAGCGAGGGAAGGACCCCCTAGGCCTAGACCCGGGGCAGGCCCCCTTGGCTCACCCACCAGACACATCGCCGCACAGACGCTCAGTGTCAGCCCCTGCCGCAGCGGGGCGGCATCTTCCCAGTCGGTCTCCCGGCCTTCACGTGCATGTATGATGTGAGTCTCAGGTGCAGACGGCTTTTATAAAACCCCCCTAACCAGGCTTCTGTCTGCGGCCAACCTGAAGGCATTTCACCGCCCACCCACTCTCCCGCACTCTCCCTCGGCCCGACCGTCCGTCTTTCCCTCGCACGAGACACACACACACACTCTCAGCACCGCTGCCCGTCCCCTTCCTGGTTTCAGAACACCCGGACACCACGAGGCCGGAAGGGGTTCACCCAACGAGCAAATGTGGGTGTCCAGGGATTACAGGCTTAGGTCCAGAGTGAGTTTCAATCGATTTAATTTGGGCTAATTTGCTTTTTGGTAAATAAATGGGAATGCATTTGGCAGAGAGAAAGCCAGTGCAGCCTGCAAGGCCTTCAGGCTGAAGCGGGAGGTCAGGCTGCGTAACTCGCTCTCGTGGGTACAGTTACCTAGTGGGTGACAGATACAGTTAACCAGGGGGTAACTGACTAGAGCGAGCATGGCGGGGGCAGGCCCACTGAAGCACCGGCTCTGCTCCTGAAGAAGGGACGGCTCCCCGCCACGGCGCCCGCCCGCGCACGCAGACCCGGAGGCCGGGGCCGACGCACCCCAGGGCGACTCCGACTCTGCTTCCCACTAACAGCTGACCTGGTCCGACCGCCCCCCAGAGCGGCTCTCTCTCTCTCCGCTCAGAGTTCCTGTGCATGAGTTCCCTGTCGCGGATGGGTCACTGTTGTCTGCTAGTCAGCATTTCCAATGTGTTATGATAAATTTCTACACTTTCTCTCACTTTCCTAATTGGTCAGCAAGTTCCTTAAAAGCAAAACCTGGATGTGGCAGCACTCAATATAATTAGTATCTAGGAGGGTCTCGGGGGGGATCTCCACATAGCTATGACTTTAAATTACGTGCGGTTGAAAACTACAAGTTCCTATTTTTCCCTAAACTTCTGAAGTCCACATTTTGTGTACCTCTGGGGTTCTGGTTTTACAGCATAAAGAAGCGACGGCTTAAAGTCCCGATTCCTTCCAGGCCAGAGTTTACTGAGACCGACGGGGAACCGGCAGGCAGCTCCCACACAAGGCCCCGCCCGGGCCACGCGGACTGGGCAGGCTGGGGTCCCCAGTGCAAGCTCAGGAGCTGACCCTCCCTCCACCAGGCGCCACCACCGGCCACACTGGCGCCGGCGCCACCAGCCCGCAGGGGAGCCGGGCAGCGCGTAGAGGGGGAGGGCCCGGCGCAGGCTACTCACCACCATGTTGTACGCGTCGGGGACTTCCGTCTCAAACTGGAACTTTCCACCTTGGTAGTAACCCTCATCTATCAAAAAACATAACAAAACAAAAAAATCCTTTAAATTAAAAAAAAAAAAGGAAACAAAAGCAAACACTGCGTTAGGACGCGGCCAGGACAGAGAACCGAGTCCACAAGGGGCCGGCGGGCGCCTCCGCCAGGCCATCCTGCCCCCCTCCCCGGGCCGCGGCCTCGGCAGCCGGCCCTCGCCAGCCCCACCGACCCCGCAGGGCGCAGCCAGCGCGCCCCTCCCCACACCTCACAAAAGGCAACCCATCATTTGAGTCGTGCGGCCGCCCGTTTGCGACTGGCCTCTTGGCCTCCGCACAAGCGCAGCAGTCGCACAGTCCGGGGACCCAGCGGTGACCGCTGGGCCCCCAGCCGTGTCCCCGGGGGAGCTGCCGCCAGCCTGGGAGGGACACCCGGCCAACAGCTTGGGGCGGTGGCTCACAGATGGTCGGGGGTGGAGCAGCCGCCCGCACCTCCCCCCGTCCCCAGGCCCAGAGCGCTGCGCCCACGCCCTGGGTCCCACGCCCTGGGTTGGGCCACCACCTCGGCCTCCTGGGGGTCTGCTGGTGTGGAGCCAGGTTCCCAGGGCATGTTCCCAGAGCACCTGCCGCAGCATGAGCTCAGAAACGTCCTCCAGGAATTAAACTCTGCAGGTCACAAAATTAACATGTCTGTAAAATGAAGGCTCAGCCCTGACTGGTGTGGCTCAGTGGGTTGGGTGTCGTCCTACAAACAAATGGTCGCAGGTTTGAGACCCGGTCAGTCATGTGTGGGTGATGGGCCTGCGTGCAAGAGGCAACTTATCGATGATGCTTCTTTGACACCAATGTTTCTCTCCCTCTCTGTCTCCCTCCCTTTCCCTCTCTCGAAGAATAAATAAAATCTTAAAAAAAAAAAAAGGAAGGTTCAACTTTCCCTAAAACATCTCTGACTATGAACAAACCAGCGATACTGCATCTCACCATGCCCTCCGCTGCCGACGGGAGACGCGCATTGTCAGGGACTGTGTGCCTTTGGATTTTGTTGGGCAACTGCGTTCACCTTCCAGAAGGCAGCCTCTGTCGTTTCTGTCTCTGGTATTACCCTTGAAAAGGTCTTTCCCAGGCAGGATGATAGAAGGCTCTTAGTTGTCCTTCCTCCTAGCGAACCTGCGGTGTCGCAGGCCTCCTCACCTCACGCGTTCACCTCGAAGCCAGCGCACAGGCAGCCGGTGCGTCTCCTCGCCGCCTGCCGGCCACCCCACGGCAGCCACCGCGGCGCCCTCCCCTGGTTCTTCGCTGTGTCTACTTCTAGTGCTTAGGAGCAACAGCGTGCCGTCTTTGGGAAGGATATTCTGGGGAAGTGTAACTCCAGATATGAGAGCTTTCCGGGTAAGTGGCACCTTAGGCATGAAATCCTCCGAGTACACGGCGTTCCCCAGAGGCTCGGCGGCCCTCAGTCTCGTAGCTGATGCTGGGCACCACGCACAGCAACGTGACGCGGGCTCCTGACACCACGTGGCGCCCGCTCCGTCCTCTCCCTGACCCCAGGCCACGCACAGCCTCTCCGCCCTGCACACGGCAGCTTCCCTCTGGTGGCCTCCCATGTCGCTGGTTCCAGCCTGGGCTCCACTGCCCACCCGTTTTAAAGCTTTGGTCTAACGTGGTTTGAGTCCACGTATCCCTCCGGCTGGTCAAGTTCTCAGTGAGCAATTATTGGAATTGTGTCATCTCTGAACTCACTGAAAATAGGGCAGGCTGTTCTGACTTTTCTATTTCATGGAACAAGTCTCTTTCAGGAACATGATTTGCTTCTGAGCCAGAACTTCCTCCTTCTTCGAAGCTACACAGCTCTGGACCTGGGCCAGCCTGCTTACTTATTGCTAAATCTGCCCAGGAACGCCAGTCTGACTGTAAAAGCTGCCGGGGGGGTGGTGCAGCAGGCTGGGGTGGGACAGACAGTGCGTGTCACTGGCTTCCTCCACGAGGACCCACCTCCTGGGCCTGGCTCTCGCGCACACACGAGGCAGGAAGACGTGGAGAAAGGCCCACGCCCCCAGGGGCCAGCAGGCAGAGGACTCGGCCGGAGCGTGGAGACCCAGCGCGCACCTCAGCCCGGGGCCCACGTCCCCGGGTGGGGCCGGCCAACCACGCCACCGTCTCTGGCTGCGGTGACCGAAAACCTCCTGCGTCTTGGGTACCGGTGTGCAGGGACAAGGATGAAGCCAGGGTGACGACCAGAGGACACGCCTTTCCCCCCTCCTGCGCCCCGGAGCCTGCCCACCCCCAACCCCTGCCTCCCAGGGTCCGTGTGCCCATGTGTGCTGGTGACAGGGGCCCCTGGGAGGGCCGGCTGTCCAAGGAGCTTTCAGAGAGACCACTTCCAGGGGCTCGCGTCCGTGTGCACTCGCTCTGAACCACATCCGCCAACGGCACTCAGGGTGGACGTGCCAGCCGGGTGCCGTGCCCACCAGGGACGGCCGTGGTCCTTTCCCAGCCTTCGTCTGGCTTGTCCAAAAGGCCTACTTCTCAGTGTCCTCTCACTGTGAGGCCAGAGGACCAAGGGACGCGCTGGTCGCCAGGGTAGGCCGTGCTTCTCCCGAATCATGTCCCTTTCTGCGAGGGCCGAGCGCGGCGTTATGGGTCGGTGTCCGGCCCACGCCGGGCTGCCCTGAACTCAGGCGGGCGGAGTCTGAAGGCAGGGACGAGTCGCCGTAACTTCCACCCGAGACGACTGCGGAGGAATCGTCACCCCGGGAGACGCAGCCAGCAACAGGCACGACGGCTGTTCCCACGCAGGTGGCCGGCTGGCTCCACGCTGCTCGTCCACTAGGAATTAAACGTGGCTGCGAGCCGGCCGTGGGGGGCATCTTCTCCGAAGCGAAGGGGGCGGCATGGCCAAGGGAGCAACTGGCTGCTGATGGGACAGTCGCGGAGCGGGCACCGTGGAGAGGTGTTCTGCGCCCGCCTCAGACGCTGTAACGCCATGGGCCCCTGATGCCTGGTGACAAGGTTTCTGCCGTGTCAGCTGCTTTCCGGTCTCCGCTTTCGACCAAATGGGAGACGGGCCCTGCCCTCCCGGTCGGCTGACGGGAACAGCCTGTGTGACATGCGGCCTCTAACTCGGAAGCCCGAGGACAGACCGGCAGGCTGTGAGACAACACCGTCCGTGCCGTCCGCTGGCCGCCCCGTCAGCGGAGAAAGGGGAGGCCGGGGGGGGGGGCCGGACCCCTGCTTCACTCACAACAGCACCCGAGACAAATGCTAACAGTTCGGACGCGCCGTGGTCTGTCCCATGTCACCACGCCCCCCGCTGCAGGTACGTGACAAGCGCCAGCACGTGCCTGGCACTGCCCTGGGCGTGGCAGGCACAGCAGCGAGGCCCCCCTACCCCTGTGAGGCCGCCGCTCTAGTGCAAGGGCACAAAATGAGCACGCAAGTCACGTCACCAGGAGGCGACAAGAGCCAAGAGAGTGGGAGGTGGCAGGGGCTGCCCTTCTAAAGGGGGTGGGGGGGGGCTGGGAAAGGGCGCAGGGTGGGGGGCGGACAGCACGGGGTGCGCCCTTGTCCTGCCCGGGCGGCGGGCGGGGTGGGGGGAGCCTGCGGGCAGACGAGGGGGCTCGGCTGTGATGGGGTCAGGAAGCCGCTGTGGAGGTGCCAGCAAACGCCTCGGGCCAACGTTTAGAGGAAACCATGGACACAGTGAGGAAGGAAACGGAAGGTGTGAAGAAGCAGGAGACCGCAACAGCTAAGAAACCTAGTACGTAAACTGAAGGCTTCCCTGGACGAGACTCACCGCAAACCTGAGCGGAGGCAGGGCCGGCTCCTGAGCCCGGGCAGCAAGGGGGTCGCCGGGGCGACTGCTGCCACGCGGACACAGGGTAATGTGCACGAAGGTGAGAGACAGGGTGTGTGCGACTGGGGTCCCAGGGAGCGGGGTCAGAAGAAAATGTTCCGAAGAAATGCTGACTGAATTACTTCTAAATTTGAGAAGAGCTCAAACTCACAGATCCAGAAAGCTCCAGAAATGCCAGGTGAGATAACCAGAAAGAAAACCACATCAAAGGACGTCACAGTCAAACTGCTGGAAACGGTGACAGAGACCGTCGGAAAAGCAGCCCAAGAATGGCACGCACCCGGCACAGAGCTGAGGGAGTCATCGCTGCTGCTTATGAGAAAAAACTACAAGTTGGGCGGCGGGAGCGAGACACCCCCAACATGCTGACGCCGCCCCCTTAGGAGCGCCCGCCCAGCACAGCTGCCAGAGCCCCCCTCCGCGGGGGCCCGCCCCCGCGCCCAAGGACCTTCTCCGCAGGAGCAGGAGGGTGGACAGAAAGGAGCAAAGGCCATACGTGGAAAGCAGGCCGATGAACAGAAGGAACACAGACCGTGTGCGGCAAAGAGACCATTCTGGGCCATGACGCAGGTGAAGCAAGGGACAGCCACCCCGTGAGGGGCCAGGGGAGGGAGGGGGGACACACTGCCGTCTAAGCCTCCACCGGAACACCCGTGAAAGGGCAAATTAAACTGAACACAGGCAGCAGAAGCGAACAGCAAAGGCACGAACAGGAAACAGAAAATATTAGAGGAAAATCAATGAAACCCACATTGGTTCTTCACATAGATCAATAAAAGGGATACTCCTGAAGCTAACCTGATGAAGAGGAAAAGAAAACACAAAACTTCAATACCAGGAATTACAGAGTGGATGCGAACACACGCTCTACGGAACTTAGAAGGTAAGGCAGGAAGTGCGGCCTTTCGCCAGCCCACCTGCACACGTGGGTGACGTGAACAAATTCCTTGAAAGACACAAAGGACCGAATCTCACTCAAGAATAACTAACCTAAACAGCCCTTTTATCAATTGAGAGAAGCTGGATTTGCGCTTATAAATCTCACCACAACAACAGTAAGATTCCAGACCTAGGCTACGGCACCAGTGACCTCTACCATGAATGAAGACGACCGAGTCTCGGCCTCGCCCCGGCCGCCGCGGCTCAGTGGCGGACCCGGCCTGTGAACCGCAGAGGCGCCGGCT